GGTGGTGGTGGAGAAGGAGGAGAAGGAGAAGGGGGAGAAGGAGGAAAAGGTGGAGGAGGAGGAGAAGGTGGAGTTCTGCGCGCCTCGGTGACGGTGGTTTTAGTGGCCCTTAGTCGCCTGGTATTCGGTTTGCCGTTTCGTACAGCCGTACAGCCCTTACATGTGACCGGATTTGAAAACTGCGCAAGAACAGGCCACATGCCTTTTGGTTGTTTGGTTGGTTTTTTAGGGTTTAAAGTTGTTGAATTTGTTGTACAGTCCTGCATGTGCAATAATAAATATCGATTTCGGGGTGTGGGGGGTTTCGGAGAGGGTTGGTTGCTTCATAACCGTCGTGTGCATCTCCTTAACGGTCTTTAACGGTTGGCTGGTTCTCGCTGCGTGTGCGCCTTTTGGGCCTTGGGGGCAGGAAATGGGAATGGTTTCCTGCCGTACTGGAGAGGGGCCATGGCGCACACCCGTCTGCTCTGTCTGCCCGTCTATCTATCTGTCTGTCTGTCTGTCTGTCCATCTCCCTGTTTGATAGTTTCTACACCTCATGGTAGAGACACTATTCTAGCCACACATAAATATATACATACGTGCATACATACATACGTACGAACATAAGACTGAAAAACGCGGTCATGTCTCTGATGTGCACATTCGAAAGGGCGTGTTGAAGCGCTGGTGGCTGCATGTTGCTGTTGTGTGTGTGTGTATTCATGGCATGTATGTATTTATGTATGTATGTACGTGTGGGGGCGGACCCCAGTGGCCTCTGCTTCTATATGGACACCGCGAAGGTACCGACCCCGGGGGGGCCCCGAGGGGGGCTTGGGGGCAGAAACAATGTTTTCTGTCCTTGTGTGTGTATGTATGTGTGTATGTATGTGTGTATGTATGTGTGTGTGTGTGTGGTGTGGTGGGTTGGGTTGGGTTGGGTTGGGGGCCATGCTTAGGGGCGGGACGTCCGGACAAAAAACCTGCCGTAATCCGCAGCCTTTCAACCCTGCTGAAACCCCTTCCCTCTCCCCCCCTCCCCCTCTCCATTTTTCGTTCCATTCGACAACAGTTGTGTCGGGTGTGGTGGTTGTAGTGCCAAACCCGCCAGGGAGTTGTGTTGTTGGTGGTTGGCTGGTAGTGTACGGACTGTGTGTTTGTGTTTTTTTCTCCCTCCCTCGGCCTATCCAATCCCGCGGAGCGTATGATGTTGGTGTTGGTATCCAAGTGTCGATTTGCACCTCACCCCCGCCGCCGCTCCACCCATACCCAGTGCACACGGTGTCCCCTTTGGTCCGCTGTCCCGGATTCTGCTGACGATGCGGCGAACACGTGGTGTGGTGTGTGGTGTGATGTGATGTGATGTGTATGATGTGAAGGAGACATGAACCTGGGCGGGACCAAGCGGCGATGAGCTAGTGATGGAAAGAGGTTCGTTTTACACGGACGGATTATCCGAAATCGGAAACGATGACAGCGGTGAGATCCTAGGAGCCCTCAGGCCTTAGGCCGAGATCAGGAAGGGGCAAGGAAAGCAAAACTTGGCAAAAGAAGGGGGGTAGGGAGTGGAAAGGTGGGGAAAAGTGACTTCGTGTTTGGAGCCACCGGGGCGGTACGATGTTGATGTGCACACCACCACTTGGAGGAACATTCCGAGGAAAATACACATGCGATCTATGCCGTACATGGTTACGGGGGGCCCTCGGGCATTGAGAGTCGTACGGAAACGGGGAAATCTGTCGTACAAGTTGCAGTTATGACATCGTTCAAGTGCCACGGGAGAATGCTGTCATTCATCGTAACCCTCTTTTCACACACACCAACAAGAATACATCCACACTCGCGCACAGGAGGGGGGCGGATTCGGGGGGAAAGCAAAGCGCGTGTGTGTTTTATCTGGGGGGGGGAACGAAGGGGAGGGGGAGGAGGGGAGTCTCGGCATTGTTATTGCGGTTGCTGTGTTTTTCTTGATCGCGTGCATTCTGGTGACCTGCCCAATGTATGAATGTATGCATGTGTGTATGTCTGTCTGTATGTGTGTATGTGCTGCACTCTGTATTCATCCCGGGGGCGGGGGAGTGAAGAAGGAGAGTGGGCGGGGGGCGCTTCGCTGCAGTACAGTACGGCATGGGTATTTATGTTTCTACTTCTTCGCCGTCTTCTTCTTCTTCTTCTCCTTGCGGTGGTGGCGGCGCCAGGTGCGCCACGTGCTTGGGAACCTGTGTGTGTGTGTTCGTGCGTTGGCAGCTGCCGTACATTGGCGTGGGAGCGTGTGTGTCAGTATGTGGTTAACCCCGCTCATCCCCAATTCTCCCCGGGGTTGTCGACCTTGAATGGGCCATTAACATATCCTTCTTCTGGGCAGTATAATTTTAAATTCCTGGCTTAAATTGGCAACGGCCCGGTGGTCGATATAGGCGCGGTGGTGAGGTCCGGGGGGTGAGGATTTCCATGTTGCTAAGGGCACACCTACGTCTCAAGTGTACCTTCGTGACCTCTTCTCTTCATGTCGGGTTCCTGCTACGGGCTTTTTCGTACACTGCCCCCTGGCGCCTTCGGGCGGGGTGAGGTGTGAGAGGACAACAGCTTTCCTCGCGACGGTGCTTGCTTGGGGGTGGGAGTAAGTACGGCTGTGGTACGACGACTTGTGGTACGGCAGGTTTTGGTCGGTATAAATGCCTCTCGGGAGTCAGTGTGGGGTCTCCGAGGAAGACTGTTCACCTGCGTGTTGATGTAGTGTTTTTTGGCGAACGGTACGGCAAGGCTTGTCGTACACATGGACGAGACAAAGGATGCAGGCGGCATCTCTGCATGCGGCCATAACCGCCGTACGTGTGGTGGACAACTGCTGCGATGTGGAAGCGGGCGGGGGCCGGAGGCGGGGGTGGGGGGGAGAGTTGGGATGAAGGGTGGAGGTGGAGGTGTTGCGGGTGGTGGTGAGGTTGGTGCTTATAGAGATTGGGGGGAGGTTCGTTTACAGCCTTTTTCTAGGGCAGTTGGGGCGGTTGACGGGCGGTATATACGTATGCATGTGCGTGCGAGGGTCTACGTACGAGGTGAATGCGTGCGGGTGAGAGGCATGGCGCCATCTTGGAAAGGCTAAGGGCCTTTTTTTGGTGTGTGTGTGTATTGGGGGGGGTATGTGGGGGGTCACGTTCGTGGGAAGGTGAGGGAGGCGCTGGAGTAGCGATGGAGACACACAATTTATCTTTTGTGATTGATCATGTCATTGCGCGTGTGTGAGTGTGTATGTATGTGCGCGTGTGTGTGTCTTTTGTGATATTCCCGTACTGCCCCTCTTCGACGAGTTTACTGAGAAGTGGGTTGGGAATAATCTCTGGTGCTCATTGCGCTAGATCTTCGGCCAGCGCTGTTTAGGAATCGTGTAATAAATCAAACGTATAAAAATTTGGATAATCCCCCATGTGTGTGTGCGTGTGTGTGTATGTGTATGTGTGTGTGGTTGGGGGGGGGGGGATAAAAGGGAAAAAATCCGCTAAAATGGTTCGGGAGCTGAGACCGTAGTTTGGTAAAAGCCTCGGCTGTAGGAGTGCTTGGGCTCGCGGTTGTTGTTGTTGTTGTTGGGGGTGGGGGTGGGGTGCTACGCGCGGACATTTAGGAGGCTGCTCCGCGGCTCTTGCAAAACGGTAAAGACCCGTCGGAAATGCACTTGCACTACTGAGGCATGGTGTTTAGAAGCCAAATCGCGATCTTGCAAAGTAATGAAAATCTGCGTGCCATTAATCTTGCTGCGAGCTACCTGACTTGATGCATGATACGCTATCTATAGATGGCTGGCCGGGTGGCGGTTGGAAACAGCATCGTGGCCTGTGGTTTTCCTCCAAGTAAGAAGACGTGGCCGATATTGTAATTCACTAACTGTGGATCATATTTTGTTTATAGCCAGAGTCCAATCGCATAACTAAAAGAGAACCCGCGCTGAGCAGGAAGTCAGCTTCCTGCTGGCCGCATCGGAAAAGTATAGCCTTTAGAGACCTAGGTCGTAGCTGTTGACATAGATGCGCAGTATAACTAATTGCTAAGACAGTCGATGGGGCAAGAGAAACTCTGGCTCTGATTATTACGGCGCAGTTGAGGCCTAACCAACACCTAAAAGCTCCAACAACCCCATACAGCGTCGCATAAGGACATAGCTAGTAAAAGCAGCAGACTGAGAAAGTTATAGTACAAATTAGGCAAGTAGCAAAATTGGTTCTACTTCCGCATCGTCAGTGGAATCAGTTCCCCGCATCCAAGGCTCACAATTCGCATCCGTAGTGTTTATCCTGCTGTTCGTTTGTGTTTGAAACACATATACTGTCAGGCTTGCGTAACGTTTTCCCTAGTTTTTAGACAATGATGGACTGTTTGCAAATTGAGGCTCGCACTTCCCTTGCGGCATCACCGTCGCCGCGCTGCCAGGCCATGCAAGCTATAGATTGCTGGTGGGTGTATCTTCTGCAACCCAGCTATCGGAGCTTACGTTCTACCAGAAGTTGGTCCATAAAACCGTCTGTGGCTCACAGGTTGGGTCGCTCCCGACGCGATTGGAGTGGGAAACCACTGCGCTATGGACTCCTGGTAAGATTTTATTGAAAAAACGATCAATTTTCGGTCCCCAATTTTCGTCTTTGCGGCCTCTGCAAGCACCGACAAACACCGCTGCGCCTTGAGCACCCATCGCCTATGAGCTCCACGCAGTCGATTAAAACAGAGTTGACCACAACCTTCTTGACCGCAACGCATCACCATCAAAAATGCGAAAATACTTATTTCCCCGCCTTTGTTGGTGCTGCATTGTGGTCAAGAAGTAGGTGTAGGTGTTGCAATGATGTCCTCCAACTCCAACCGCAGGTCCTCGCACAAACCAAACGACTCATTTTGTGTTTTAAATAACTTCTCGCCACCAACAACAATCATTACGTTATTATATCTGGAGTTCCAGGCTCCTCCAGACCTGTCAATGTCTCCTTCACACACGTCTGCACATCTTGCCTCGCGCCTGCTTTGGCTCGTCCCTGCCATGACATGCCCACCCTAACAGGCTCCGAGATCACCTCTGCGCCATGCGCTCCGAAACCGAGGGCTATGCTACAGTCGTCACGACGGCAACGGGCCCCCTCGACCCCTCGTACTCGGCACCCCGCCTAGTCCCCCTAGGTACAAGGGGCCCAGCCAAGAAAAGGTCGGTAAATACCGTTATCGAACTTCTTACATTTTACGCCGTACGCATCTTTTTGCCGTGCCGATCATCTTTTAAGTACCAACTTTTGCCGAGGCGTAAAAGAATTCATTGAGAATTTCAGATTGCTGTTGCTGCTGTTATGAATGCTGTTTCTTGTACGAGCGGCCTTTCCTTTTATTTCCCCTTCTTTTCGTTAACCGTTATCACAGCTGTCAACCGCTCCTCGCTTTCCGCACGCCCTGCCATTTTAGCCACCTCCTTCCCCCTCCCCTTCCCTTTTCGAACACAGCTGGACCATTCCCTAGGGTAAGCTTATTTACGACAGTGACATCCCCCCAAACACATTCCCGCCCCCCCCCGCACCACCGTCCCCAGCGTCACCAGGATTTAGCGGCGGGAAAGGAGCAGGACGCGGCGGTAGCAGTAGCTGCTGCTGCTGTTGTTGCGGCTACAGCCGACCGTGACGTGGGTCAGGATGTGCAGGTATGGTGTAGCTGGGAGTGAGATGTGTGTGTGCGGGGTTGGGGGGGATAAAGTAAACACGAAGAGGAAGTCATCCGGCGGCTTGGGGTGGGGGGGTGTGGGTGGGGGGGAAAGGGGGGAGAGGCGCTTACGAGGATTAGGAAGTTTTGTCCGGACCTTTGTAAGTGCCGTACACTCACTTTTTTTTGTTAAGCCGTACCTTGATACGAAATAAAACCCAATTTCGTATCAAGGTAGGAAATACCGCAACCACCATCTCCATACATACATCTTACTTTTGGCCCTATTTTCCCAAACTGAACAATGTCGTACACATTCGGTAGTCCAGTCGTACACCTCCATTTGTAACCCCCGCTTCATGATTAAAACCCCCATGGCAGCTTCGAGGCCAGGAGGTGGGGTGGCGGAAGCGGTGGACAGTGGTGGGGCTGTGTTTCGTGGCGTTCGTACTTTGCAATCTGGACAGAGTCAACATGTCGATTGCCATCCTGCCTATGGCGGAGCAATTTGGCTGGAGTACGACAACAATGGGTCTCGTACAATCTTCGTTTTTTTGGTGGGTTGGAATTTTGCATGTTTTGCTGCATGTGTGTGTATGTTATCCCCTACATCCGAATTTGCGCTTCCGAAACACACGTCTTACACACCGCTTATCACCCCTTAAACCCCCCTCCCCTCCCCCCTCACCACCACTACGCCGCCGTAGTCGCCTTTGCTGTGCTTGCCGTACACACGTACTTACCCCCAAAACACACGCACGTACTCTTTCCTCCTCCTCCCCCCTCCCAAGACACACGCACATACATACACACGAACACACACACACGCAAACACACACACACGCACACGCATGGCTGTACGTACGGCATGACGCGCAGGGGTTACCTCCTTACCCAAATCCTCGGAGGCGTCCTGGCGGATCGCTGGGGCGGCAAGTCCGTGTTGGGTTTTGGCGTGTTGTGGTGGTCTCTGGCAACCGCCGCCACCCCCGCAGCAGCCCAGGCCGGTCTCCCCGCGCTGCTGCTGGCCCGCTGCATGATGGGCATTGGTGAGGGCGTGGCCCTGCCCGCCATGAACTCCATGCTCGTCAAGTGGGTTCCGGCGGAAGAACGGTCTCGGAGCTTGGCGCTGGTGTACAGCGGAATGTTTACGGGTGCGTACGGCATTGTACGGATGTGTGTGTGGGGGGGGGGGCGTTGTGTGGTTGGGGGGGGATTGAGAAGAGGGTAGGGAGCATTGTCCCGCGTGTGTGCTTTGTGTGTTTTGGAGAGAGAATGTGTGTGTGTGTGTTGGGGTGTTGGAGGGAAGCGGTTGGGAAGAGGACGGGGGGGAGGGGGAAGGTGTATGTATGTATATATGTATGTATGTATGTATGTATGTATGTATGTATGTATGTATGTATGTATGTATGTATGTATGTATGTATGATGACTTAGATTACACATGTCCTAAGGCTTGTCGAGGGACACCGTGTATGTGTGCTTTTTAATCTCAACACCCGCAAACCTCCTTTTCCTATCCTACCTGGCGGCCGGTCCCCTTTCATTCTTTGAAGCACGCATCACCAAACACGTCCCTTCCCAACCACCTATCGCTCGCCGTACAAACTTCGCACTTGGACACGTACATACATACATGCATACATACGTGAAGATGTACCCCCCTGTTTCACACTTCATACATATATACATACATACATACATACACACGTCTGTTTTCAGGATCCGTTCTCGGACTGGGCGCGAGTCCCCAGGTCCTGGCGGCCTTCGGCTGGCCCGCTGTGTTTTGGTCCTTTGGCAGCCTGGGCGTCCTCTGGTGAGTTCGTACAGGCGCGGATTTGAATTTTGAATTTTGAACCTGGATAACAGTTTAAATTTAAATGGTGATATTTGGATCCTACCTGCACCTGCCTGGGGGGTTACGTCGGTAATAGTGTTTCACACCGGGGGGCGAGGAGCCCTTGGGGCCCCGCTGCTGCTGCTGCTGTTGTATTTGTATTTGTATTTGTATTTGTATTTGTATTTGTATTTGTATTTGTATTTGTATTTGTATTTGTATTTGTATTTGTATTTACTTACACTTTATGAGTCATGGGCGTTTGCGCAGCGTTCCTTCTCTTTTTGAAGCCGTTGCTACGTACATATGTGTATGTCATTATGTCTGTATGTAGCTTATATAAATTTACATGCTTATAAAGAGCTACGTAGTTATAGTTATATGCGTATAAAGTACATACATACATGCACAGAAGGCGCACTGCGGTGCGCCGAAGCGGTGGAAATTATTGCCTAAGAGCGCTTTGAGCTTAGTTTGTAGGGCAGGGCTCGGGGGGTTATAGGAGTTCGAAGGGGATGGGGGTTGGAGGACAAGGGAATAGGTGAGAGGGAACCCCGAGACGGGAGAGGAAGAGGAGAAGGACGGGGAATGGAGGCGGTCACGTCGTGCAGGGAAGAACCCTTTTTCTTCCCTAGTGCCGCTCCGAGGTTGTAGGGTGCTGGAGAGCCGGGGGGAGGTGGGGTCGCTCGGACAGGGGAGGGGGGAAATGGCGGTGAGCGCGCCAAAAGGACGTAGGTTTTCTGGTGTGTGGGAGGTTGAGGTCTGGTGGTGGTAGCGGGGCTTGGATGAGGGGGAGGTGTGGCCCGAGGAGGGCCATTCTACTTAGGCACGTCTTCTCTGTGGGACTGGGTTGCTTGGTGAGGGACGAAGGTGAGAGCGGTGCAGTACCGGTAAGGGGGAGGCGCCGCGCGGGCTACAATCCTCCCCTCTAGAGGGTCTAGGAGCTGTGTGTCGTGGCAACGCTAACGCTTTGGTGGTTTCACCGGACTATCCCGGGCCCCTGCAGTGGTGATCAGGCTTGTGCGGAATCCCTTTTCTTTTTTATAAGGCTACTTCTCCCCTGGACCAGCCCAGGAAGGGACAGGTGGTGGAGGTCAGTTGTTTTAAGGTGGTTGCAAGACGTCTTGTGGTGTCGAGCTCTCTTAGCCTTTCTCTCTGGGAGGTTTTTTGTTGGCCTGTTAGGTATATCAGGAGCCCTCCCCTGCCGGGACTGCCCTGACCGAATTTTTGTTTGTTTCTTTTCCTCCCTTCGAATCCCGTTCTCGTTGGTGGTGTTTTGGGGGGTTGTTTCAGAGAGCCTTTGACTTTGCCCTAGCTGAGACTTGTGGACTGGCTCTCGCGGGACCTGAGAGCCCTTCGTGGTGTTTTCACTGCAGCGCCATTCCCGGATAGAGGGGCAGCGGAATGGCTGCGTAGATTGTAGGCAGTCTGAGTCGGGGTCGGGAGCACACAAGACTAACCGACTTGTGCTGTGTGCTCCCGACCCTTGCGCTGTGTTTCGGCTTCGGCCCCCGGCTCTCGCGGCCCACAGTGTAATCTAAGTCATACATACACATACGTTGTAAGAGAGATAGACATATTTGCATACGAAAAATGTATATTTTCTTTTATTTTTTCATTTTCTACGTATGTATGTATGTATGTACGTGTGGACGTCACGCAGGTATTTTATCTGGCAGGGCTCCGTGACTTCGGCCCCGTCTGATGATGCGTCCACTAACCTTACGGAGCTCGCCACCATGGACAGCAACACCCTTAGCCCCGAGAACGGCAGTAGCACTACTGCTGCTACTGCTGCTGCTGCTGCCGCGGGGGGCTCGGCAGCTTCAGTGGTTGTTCCAGAGGGGGGGCAGGCGGGTTTCGATAGTTCGTCGTTCGGGGGAGTCCCCTGGAGTCTGCTGCTGAGTCGCAAGGAGGTACGGCAAGCGGGGGAGGGAGCAGGGGGGTTGGGGTTTGATCTGTGCGTGTGAATGAATGTATGTTTGTTTGTTTGTTTGTATGTTTGTTTAAAAGTGCGAAGGATGTCTTATGCGATTATGTCCCCGGGGGGGATGGGGGGCGGGTTGCGGTGTTGCATTCCGAAGAGAGGGGAGGCAGCACAAAAGGTGCTGTGTGCCATTTGTCCCCTGCTACTGCCGTCGTTCTACGGCTCCTGGCACCGCTTCTGCACCTGCTACTGCTACTATTGCCACTGCGAGCACCACCGATATGGATGTTATTACTGCTACTGCTGCGTACATGTGATTATGTTGTACCCGCATGTATGCTCCCCCATGCAGGTGTGGGCCCTCATCCTGTGTCACTTCTGCCACAACTGGGGCCTATTCATTCTCTTGACGTGGATGCCGGCGTACTACAACCAGGTGCGTCTGTACGACTGAGCAGTACAGTTGTTGGTTGGAGATTTGAACTTCCCCCCAAATCTCCCGCCAAAACACAGGTGTTGGGTTTGAATTTGATGCAAAGCGGAGTACTTTCCGTACTCCCCTGGGTGGCTATGGCGGTGATGGCTAATGTGGCGGGATGGGCAGCGGACGCATTAGTGGCGCGCGGGACGAGCATCACGGTCGTACGGAAGGTACGGAAGAGCTGCAGTACACGGATGATGGTCACATAAATGGGGATTGTGGGCACCGGGAGGAGGCTGCGGATGGGTTGTTGTCGTGGTGCTGCTGCTGCTGCTACTGCTACTGCTGATGGTGTTGCTGCTACTGCTACTGCTGATGATGGTGTTGCTGCTACTGCTACTGCTGATGATGGTGTTGCTGCTACTGCTACTGCTGATGGTGTTGCTGCTACTGCTACTGCTGCTGCTGGTCGTGGTGGTATGCTACACCCCCGACGCTACACCCCCACGCACGCAGGCCATGCAGACGGTGGGTTTCTTGGGACCCGCCTTGTTCCTCTCTCAACTCAGCGGAGTCACCTCCCCGGGGGGTGCCGTACTGTGTATGGTTGCCTCACAAGGATTGGACGCGTTCAGTCAGGCGGGGCTGTACGCCAATCACCAGGTGGGCGGTTAGGTGGTTGGGTTAGTGGTTAGGTAGTTGGTTTTCTGAGATATACCTTGCTTTTTGGCGGGCTGGCGCGCACGCGCGCGCGCGCATGTGCGTGTGTGTGTGTGTCTTTGTATGTATGTAATGTATGTTTTGTGTGCTACATTTCCTCTCACGTATTTTTTCCTCGTGTTTTGTTCCCCCCTATACCCCTACCCCCCTGATGGAACCTCCCCCCAATGTGGACTACTTGGGCGGTTTGAAAAATGAAATCCACTTCTTGCATCACACAATTCCACACGGTTTACCCGCCCCCCTTCCCCCCGGCTTTATAACCCCCTCCCCCGCCCCCGTCGGTTCCCGCCCGTCTCCCGCCACCCCCGGCGGCTCACGTTTTCCGGTTTCCTAAACAGGACATCGGGCCCAGATACGCGGGCGTCCTCCTGGGGCTGTCCAACACTGCCGGTGTTCTAGCCGGCGTGCTGGGGAGCCTCGTGACCGGGTGGCTCTTACAGCCCGGGGGGGTGGGGGATGCGGCGGTTGGGGGTTGGAGCCAGGTTTGGGCTGTAGCTGTCGTACTGTACTTGGTGGGTACGGTGGTTTGGTTGACCATGTCGACAGGAGAGCGTGTCTTTGACTGAGTGAGTGGGAGTGGGGGGAAAAGGTGTAATGATGACGGAGCGCGATCATGGTGGTTTCGGAGGATGGTGTTGTACCCTACACTGTAGGCTACACTGGGCACTGAAAACCTCCTTTGTGTTGTGTTGTGTGGTGTGGTGTGGTGTGGTGTGGTGTGGTGTGGTGTGGTGTGGTGTGGTGTGGTGTGGTGTGGTGTGGTGTGGTGTGGTGTGGTGTGGTGTGGTGTGGTGTGGTGTTGTGTTGTGTGGGGATTCGGGATTGTACCGGAGTTGTTGGTTGGGATTGGCGCAAGGGGGAGGGAAGGGGAGGGAGGCGACGAGAGTGACGGGAAGGAGGACTGTGTTTCGTTTTGTATGGTACACGGCGTATGCGGCGTACGGCGATGGACGGTTATGAAAGCAAGCAGCACAACACCACGTGGATTGTGGTTGAAAATGTTGTTGACCCACCAGCGTTTTAGTCGTTAGAGATGTTACAGTTGTTGTTGTTACAGTTGTTGATGATGGTGGTTGGTGAGCTCTTGAAGTCAAGGTGCAGGGCGACTTGCATATTTGAATCAGGATTTGAATTCAAAACAAACAAAACCTATCATTTGATCTCGTCTGATCTGGTTTTGGATTCGGGGCGATGCGCAAATGCCGACCGTTAAAATCGTTGTCGTTGTCTCTTCCTCGTAAAAGTCGACTGCGAAGTAAAAGCAAATCAATTGGTTAAGACCTTGTACAGAAATTATCCTTGGGGATACCCGCCCGTGTTGGTTGTTGTTGCAAACATGTGCGTGTTCTGCTGCTGCTGCTGCTGGTGCTGGTGCTGGCGCTGGTTGCTCGCTATTCCCCATATCGCGTACGCCCGACTTCTCAGACTTCCCGATTTCTTCTTCTTTTCCCACCGGGCAGCTTAGACAGCATATATACACGGGCAGTAGGCAGTAGGTTATTTCCCGGCGTTATTTAAGACGGCGCCCCGGTACGGCACGCCCGTACACCGCCGTACTGTTGCCGTACGCCTCTTATCCGCAGTATCATTTGCATGTGCATATTGGTGTCTGTGTGGATAGATAGGTACCTACCTACCTACATCTTTTTGTGCAGAATTTCTCATTCTCTCTCTCTCTCTCTCTCTCTCTCTCTCTCTCTCTCTCTCTCTCTCTCTCTCTCCCCCAGTCAGTCAGTCAGTCCACCTGCAGTGCTAGTGCTAGTGCTAGTGCGTGTATGTCGTATGTTTGGAAAGCAGCTGTCAGGCTGTTTTTCCGTTGCGGCATATCTTTGCTTTTTCGATTTTTTGTTTCCGAACTGGGTTCTTGTTTCTTTCGCGATTTGTGTTTCTCCGTTGGTGCCATTGTTCCAGTCCCCAGGTCCGGGTACTCTCCGGATGATCTTAAGGATTTCGAGGTTTTTACCGGTATGTATATTATGGATTGTATGTATGTATGTATGTATGTATGTATGTATGTAAGTATTAAGGATTTCGAGGGTTTTACCGGTAATGGCTTCTGGAAGTTTCGGGGCAACTAATGAATTGAGAATTGCGTCGTTTCTAACCTAGAGGGGGAGGGAGGTCAGGGCATGAGACTCCGATTCGCCCGGGGTTGTCTGGGCGCATGCATGTGTTCTGGTTATGTGTTTTGATGATGTGGGTTGGTTAAAAAGGGGGGAAAAGCGCTATATTCTTGTGGAAAATGTTTGTTGGACGGAGGCTTTTGGGGTTTGTGGCTGTTTAGTAAGATAAAACCGACGTGTGTTCTTGTTGTACAATAGGTAGTAGCGATGTACGGCACTGGCATTTGTGGTCAGAATGTGTAGTTGCAGCTGTGCTGTGAGTGAAGGGAGTAGTTGGGAGTGAATGGGGTATGAAGTACTGCTCTCCCCGCAAGCGGGGACGAGTGGAGGGATTATCGTATTTTTCTGTGCTCGCACACAGTGTATTATGCAGCAGTAGGCTTGGCGAGCAGTAGCAGCAGTAGCATTAAGCAAGCGCGGTTGCAGCGTCAGCGGCGGGGCGGGGCGGGGCGGGAAAAGCTGATTTGGTCCCTAGGGGTTTTATTTCGGTAGGGGGACGAGTTACGGGAAGCCTGTCATCTTGTATTTGGAAATTATCTGAAGACTGGTCCCGATATGACTCCAATCTTTTATTGGTGTTGATGTCGGTCCTGCGAGAGAAATACGGCGCTGCAGAAGCTCAAGTCGGGTAGCTCCGTTTTGGGTTGTGTCCTTGTTGCGTGTTGTAGGATTTGAGGTTTCTGGGGGATGTTGAGCCTTGGGTAAACTCTTTCCTTCCTTACGCGAATATCAAAAACGTAGAGCAAACCTATATGCGCGATGCGAGATGTATGTAAGCTGGCGCCTAAAATTGCGTTGGAAATTGTCCCGCTGTTAATAATTATAATTTAAAAACAAATAATAAAAAAACCTTGAATTAAAGTAAATTTAAACTGAAGGCATGCATATCGGAAATAGTTGAAATTAGTAATTGTGCAGGCATGTACAAATTTGAGGGATGTATAGCAGGAAAGAGCACTCTAAGGAAAAGGCGTACAAAGAGACTTCGATTGTCTCTTGATGATTGGGGCTCGAACTTCTACAAAAGGGTTCTGATCTGTGTCTTTTCTTGTCGCCCTGATCGGCCACATAGGTGCTGGGATGCGTGCTGCTTCTGCTCTTCCGTCCTACATGACCTCGTAAAAGCGATGTCGTACCGAATTTTTTAACTGAGCTGCAGTGCTGGCTTTGTAAGAAACAAGGCATCCTTGTTAATTACATTGTTAACTTGTATGGATTAGGCGCTGGAAGTACAAGAGCACACCGGGGAGTCATGGAAAGCCCTAGAAGGAAATTGACTTTTATGGGTTACTTCCACGTCTCGACGGTGAATCACGAAACAAGGAGATTGGAAAGGAGAGTTCAGGTTTTGCCAGGTCTTGCTCAAAATAGCGATCGAAACAACGTGGGCATCGTGGGGACACCCCTGCAGACGCCGAGATGCGTCGCTTTCATAACGTTGACATAAATTGGTGAGATGTATCGTTCATTTCATGAAAGGCTGTATTGGGGTTGTACGGTGCTGGGGCCACTGGGGCTTCCACAAACGTGCGTCCCTGACGCCGGAGCCTTTTACTATCAAACGGCAAGAACAGCTTCCAAACCATCAGTTGGACTTAGAAAGCATAAACCCAGCGCCTGTATACGAACCTATTACTCTTGAGTTCATGTATCCAGCTCTGTGGCTAAAAGCGGCACCACCTGCTTAAACATATGTCAGCAGCAAGACGTACTCCTACCCCTCCCAGCCCAACGTCAAAGCATGCTATACAAATGAAAATTTGTATATGGGTGTGTTAAGAGCCCAGGAACACTGTCCTGCGCCGTTGTACGGCAGATGTAACGTTGTGTGTGGAGTTTGATGAGCGACATTGAAGGATAACCCACGATAACCCACAAGGATCTCAAGGAATCTTATGTAAACTGCTAGGTTTTAGGCTTGCGCTGCTTCGGATGCCTACTTCTCGCGGCTTTCACCTCAGACACTGACTAAACACGGTTGTGAAGTACAAAAACAGTCTTTCCATTTGTATCCTGCAGCCTCATGCAATCATAACATAAATATAATACTTAGCTTTGTGCTATGCGCGTTGTCTTGAAGCATAGGATAATATCTAATTTCGTATCCTGCAAAGAGTGTAACTGAAGAGGCTCCCAAGGCCGCTGTTTATTCTATGTTACTACTACAACGTTAGAATTATGTCAGCATTAGAGATTGCCGCTGTGCTGCTATTAGGTTGAGTTGAATGGCAGGGGTTACAGAGCCAAGCCTGCGGCACGGCTGTAACGGATCAGCATATTATAAACGTTTTCATGAGGTCCCAGGCTGTATCTTGACTTCGACAACCCTGCTCGATAGCCGCTGGTCCAAGAGCGTCATACCAGTTCTTGCGCTCAGCCTTCAAGAGCTTCCTGCTGATTCGCGTAAACGGGAGGACGCTGCTCATCTGAAATGGGACCTGGCTCTTGTTTGGTGCAACGCCGCGGCAAAGGGATGTTTGGGCACGAAGCAGCCGGTCTTGCGTGCAAAAGATAACCCAAGTTTATGTGGAGAGCTTCTTCGCCTCCATTCCTTCCAGCTTTCTTACGCAACAGAGCACGTCCTTGTCGCTGGCAGCGGTCATGCCTTCCGTGTCAAAGCAACAGCTTGTCTTTTAGAAGTCGACGACCTGCGCTCGCCGGGCTTGAATATTACGAAAACCTATGATGACGCCGGCGCCTGCGGCTGCCTTCCTTTCCTCCATCGACGCGGAGGACGCACCTCCTCAATTCAAGACGTCGCCGGGCCACGACCCACTCTTCTGCTCGTCTGCGACGACAAGCAACGCAATGGCTGCATCAGCTCCCCCAGACAGCACCCTCACCTTCAACTTGAACCCACCATCACCTCCACCAGCACGACGTCCTTCACCAGCCACGATCCCCATGGACCGCTCTGGCGGGGTTCGCCTGTCAAGTCTCCCCCTCCCTGCTCCCCTTCTCCCCCCGCGGGCCCGCCTTTCCCCCGCGCCTGCTGCGACGCCGCGGGCCCGGACGGCCACGGCGCACTCGCCCTCGCCGCGCTGCCCATCGCCGTCACCGTCATTTCCCGCCAAACCGGCATGGTCCTCAGTCAAAACGCCGCCAGCGAACTATTGCTCGGACCGCTCGTCCACATGCCGTACAATCACGCATTTTTCCAGGGGCTCCCTGGAGCGCCAGTGGGCCCATTAATGCGCGGCGGCGGCGGCGTTGTCGGTGGCATTAGCAGCAGCAGCGGCGGCGTCAGCGCCAGCAGCGGGGGAGTGCGTGGTCTGCTGAACTTTCTATTCATGATGGACCCTGGGAAGCTCAGTGTCATGTTGGAAGCGACAGAGCCGGAAGGTGGCGTGTGGCAAGGTGCGCTCTGTGTGTATGTGTATGTATGTATGTGTTTTAGGGCTTTCCCTTGCAGGCATGTACAGGTTACTACAGGTTAGGCGCTACTGGTAAGGCATGGACCATTGCCCCGGGGAGATCCCGGGATCGAGACCTGTCAGGGTCGGAAATCCTTCCGATGGTGGGAGGTATAGTGCCCCTAGTCGATGGACTGTGGTGACCTGGGATAAAGTTGACCTGCGAGCCGATCAGGAATGGAGTTGGGCCGCTGTCGACCCGGCAGATTCCGTTGGATGCTGGTGGTGGGTGCGGAACCTGAGCGATCCACTGAGAAGTTGACTAGGGTGACTGGATGAGGGTGCCCCGAAATACCGGGGAAGGCAAGGTTTCGCAGGGTAGCTGCCACGGGCGAAGATACACCCCCCTGTTCCACACGTCCTATACAACCTATCAAACCCTGCCGGGGACTCTCTCCCACGTCGCCGCCTCCTCTCTCCCCCGCCCCCCCCCAGCCACATCTAGACAGGAGGTGAAGTGGAAATCCTCTTCCCCCAACCCAACAGCCCCATCCAATTCCGAAAAACAAAGAATAGCCCACAGCATTAAAGAGCCGACAGCGCCCCCCCCTCCCCTGCGTCACTTCTTTTTTTTGTACGGTGTCATGTCGTACATCATGTCGTCTCACTGTAGGCGTCATCCGCGTCGCGCCCCACGTGTTTCCTCTTCCCTCCCGGTACTGCGGCGGCGGCGGCGGTGGGTTGCGGCAGTGCCAGCTGACCCGGCAGGACAGTGAACGTGGAAGCGGTGGCGGCGGCGGCGGCGGCAGCCCGGCGGCGGTGCACAGAGTCCCGCTGGGTTCCGGCGTCGAAGCCGCGGTCGCTCCCCACTTCGACCCCGTTGCCGGCGGCGGCGGCGACGGCGGAGAAGAGCAGCGGCTGCTACAGATGTTTGCATCCGGCGGCGGACCTGTGTTGGATAGCCCTGTGTACGGCACACACATGTCCTCTGGTTTCTCTATGCAAATGGCCGGCGGCGGCGGCATGCTGCCGCCGCCGCTGATGGCCACACGCAGCTTTGACGCCGCCAGCGGCTCACCGTGCTGCAGCGAGTCTGTCGTACTGGTGCCGTCGCCGCGCGGCGGCGGCGGCAGTGGTGGCGGCCTCTTTTGGAAGCAGCCGTCGCCGCAGTACCGCAGTGGTGGCACGGCGCCGCCGCAGCACCATCATGCGGCCGCTGGCGGAGGCGGCTGCGGCGGAGGCGGCAGCGGAGGCGCATCCGGCGGCGGCCATTCCCTTTGGCAATGTTATCAACGGCTCGGTCCATCAGGCGGTGCTGGGGTCTCGTACGGCAGCAACAACAACAACAACGGTCGTTGTCGCGCGGCATCCGTTAATCGCACGGCGCTCATTTCGGCCCTTTCTAGCTCGACCAGTACGTGGCAGGTATGTATGTATGTATGTATGTATGTATGTATGTACATGATGTATCATATATATATATGATATATATGTATCATGATGATATGTATAATATATATACACACATGCCATATATATACATGGGTTTGGCACCACTGGTAAGGCGCGACCATTGCCCCCGGGAGATCCCGGGATCGATACCCGTTAGGGTCAAAGTCCTTCCGATGGTGGAAGGCATTGCGCCCCTAGTTGATGGACAGTGGTGACCTGGGATAAAGTTAACCTGCGAGCCGACCAGGAACGGAGTTGGGCCGCTGTCGACCCGGCAGATTCCGTTGGATGCTGGTGGTGGGTGCGGAACCTGAGCGATCCACTGAGAAGTTGACTAGGGTGACTGGATGAGGGTTTATACCGGGGAAGGCAGGGTTTCGCAGGGTAGCTGCCACGGGCGAAGATACACCCCCCTGTTTCACACATCATACACATATGTATATAATAATAATAGGTAGGTAGGGCGCAAAAGCGGTAAAGGAGAGCAGAAAGGAAGAGGGAGGGAATGGAAAGGGGCTATGATGAATGGCATTTTGAAATTTGAATGTTGGCGGGAGCGGGGGACCAAAGAGTTCGCGAGGGAGAAGGGCGGAACAGTCGCGTTTCATCGCCCCCACGCACCCTCCAGGATACCCTGTTCTGTTCCCTTTTTTGCATCCCTCTTCATTTATTATATTTATTATATTCATTATATTCATGTAATTTAATATTTAAACAAGTATACTTATTGATTCCCCCCTTACGCAACCCGCATGCCAAAGGTGGCGTTCGCCGGGTCGTCGTTCGATGCGTCTGAGTACGGCCGCCGTACAACTCGGGCCCGCCGCAACACCACCAACAGCTTTCACGGCAGCGGAGGCGCTCCGGCGCCGTCGGCGGCTCACGGCCCGTGGACAGCAGTGGCGCCGTCGGCGGCTCACGGCCCGTGGACAGCAGTGGCGCCGTCGGCGCAGTCGCCGCCACCAACGGATGCTACAGCCCCCCTCGGGCCGTTTGGTTGCGCATCCGAATCAGCGCCGCCGATGCCGTACTACTCGCGCTCCGCAGTCGCCGCCGCAATCGCCGCTAGCGCCTCAGAACAGCAACCCTTATCACGCAAGGCGCAGAAAATGGTGGTGGCGTTTAGCAGCCAGGGCGGCAAGGGAGGAGTATCCGCTGGCGGCGGCGGTGGCGGCGGCGGCGGCGGGGCTGCCGCCGTGAACACCTCCGGCTCTACAAACTCCCTGGAGGTAACTGGACTGCTTGCCGGGCCCTTTTCACATCTCCTGGGGAGGAGGTCTCAAAGCTGGCGTTGCGTGTCTGGTGCGCCTAGCTGCAGCTCGGCGTCTCCGGGTGCCAGTCCGCTTCTCGGCGGCGGAGGGGCCGGCGGCGGCGGCATTAGCCGCAGCCGCAGTCGCCAGGTCCCCCGAGCACAGAGCTGCGCAGTTATTTTACCGTCCAGCGGCAGCTCGCACCCGCTGGCCATTCCGCCGCGCGGCCCTCACCCACCGCAGCAGCCGTCAGGGTGCGATGCCGTACAGTACGGCATAAGTGCGGCGGAGGGGACGATGGTGGGGATAGGTTACGGCAACATCCCGACCGCGGCGCTGCCGATGTCGTATAGCCGTGGCGGCGGCAGTAGCGTCATTGGCGGGAGCTTTACGACGCGTACGTCGATATCGCACGCGACGCCGCCGACGGTGTCACAGAGCATCACCGCTGCCGGTCTGGCGATGTCGCCGACGGCGTCGTTCTCCAGACCGCCCTCTTCCCGTGTTCTTACTTTTGCGGCAGGCCTCCGTACGGCGCCGCCGTCGTTGGCGGCTGGTCTCGGAGTCAGCATGGCATCAGGCTCCATCGCACGGACGCAGTCTTCGCACGCTCCCTCGCTTACCAGCGCTACCGGTATTCCTGTCGGCGGCGGTGCCGCCTCCGCGGCCACCGCCCGCCACGCCCCCCTCGCCAGGAGCGGCGGCGGTGATGACCTGGCGGGCGAGTTTGCCATGATACAACCGCGTGCTGGTACCGTCGCTCACGCGCCCGCAGTAAATTTGCAGGTGGCGGCAAAAGTCAGGGGGACCGCCGGTGGCGGCGGCGGCGGCTCGGCCTCCGCCGCTGCCGTTCCCGTTCCCGGGAGCGTGCGGCCAGGCTGTTCGGCGGTAGCGGCGACGGCGACGGCGGCGGTGGGCCTCAATCACCGTCCGGCGCCCAGCGGCCCCAGCGCGAGCAGCTACCGCTCCCGGTTTTCTGTCGTCGGCGCATCGTATGGCGGCGCCACAGGCTGCGGTACGGCAACGGGCGGTGGCGCCGACGACAGTCCCAACACGCTGCCGATCAGCATGTCCGGCACCTTGGCGGGGGCTGCGGGCGGTACCAGCGGCGAAGGCAGCGCAGCCGCCGCCACCGCCACCGCCGCCCCGTCAGCGGCGGCCGCTGAGTGTTGGCACGAAATGACCTGTTGCGGTGTCACCGACGCAGTGACCGGCACCCCAGCCATAATTCTGATGCAACGTGACGTGACGGCCAAGGTGATTGCGGAGCGGCACGTGGCGCAGGTTTCGGAGACGGAGCATCGGCTGTTGGAACAGATCTTCCCGAGACACGGTACGGCAGGGCTGGCCTGGGGCGGGAGAGGAGATGGGAAAGGAGGTGCACTTTGTGTATGCGTGTGTGTATTTATGTATGTGTGTATGTATGTGTGTATTTCTTTGTGTTTTCTTGCATCATCGTTGAATGCACCTCGTTGCCCCTCGGTCGTACATGTATGCCGTACACAGTGCTGCAGTACATGATGGAAGAGAACTGTCACCGTACCGCTTTGGACGACCCACAAATTCAACACCAGCATCAAAATGACCAACATCAGCAGCAGCATAGCCACCAGTACGACAATAATCATCGGCACCACCCGGATCTGCCGCCGTACGGCAACATCTCTGGTGATCTGGTGGACGAGCTACAAAAGAGCAGTGACGGGGAGTTACAAGAGTACGGCAGTAACGATAAAGATGATAAGGACGACGTGGATGGGGAAGTGGAGTTGCAGACCGAGGTGACCGAAAAGGCCGTGGCGGCGGAGCAGCAGCAGCCGCAGGAGGAGGAGGAGGAGGAGGAGGAGGGCATGGCAGATTGGGCCAGTGGACAACCCGGACTTGCGGCTCAGTCCACTGCCGCCGCCGCCGGCGGCCCTGGCGCTGGCGGTCCAAGATCTGCGAACTGGCGACCGGTTGTACGGGATTACAACCGACTGGCGACGTGGCATCCGCAGGTCTGTCTGTCTGTCTGTCTTTGCGTGCATTGTATGAGGTGCCCTCGAACAGTGTAATGTGCGGAATGGCGATACGCCCCAGGCGCCTCAGTTGGAGGCGGGAGGTGGAGGGGAAGGGGAGTCTAGGGCGCGTTAGGGCAGTGAGGGAGGAGGGGAAGGGTGTGTGTTTGGCGATGGCGACAGTCGCCCCCGACACCGTAACATTAAAACGTTTATGAATGGTCCCTTGTGAAGGGCGAATCCACCGGATTTGATGGACCCCCCCCCACTGTGCGAACACTGCAACTGTATAAACTGTATAAACTGTAACTTCTCTTCCCCTGATCACCCCGTCCTGAACCCCCTCCCTGGCCTCTTCTCCAACTCCCCCCTCCCTGGCGCCAGGTCACACTGTTGTTCGCGGACATGCCGGGGTTCGCGGCGCTTTGCGGCTCCCTCCCCCCCCGTGTGGTGATGTCCTTTTTGCACAACCTTTTCGCCACCTTTGATGACATGCTGGACCACTACAAGGTCTATAAAGTACGGCATGCGGTCGTACGGCATGGGATAGTAGGATACGGGGTGATACGGCAGGGGGTTGGGATGTGGGTCAGGTGCATCTCTTCCGAAGAAACAAGAAACTGACAAACCAACAAACTTACAAACCAACAAACTGACAAACGCCTCTTCTGGGCTCCGGAGCGACATAGGGCTGGGCTTTTCAATTGTGTAATTTAGGGTTTTCATATACATACAGACATACCCCACCTTACCATGGACTCTCATTCCCTTCCTGCTAAATCACTTCGCCTCCTCAACCTAATCACCCCCAGGTGGAAACAATCGGCGACTGCTACGTGGTGGCTGGGGGCCTTATGTACGAGGATGAGGACGGCATGGCTGCCGTACAGAAGGGCCGCATTGAGCCTGATCAGGCTTACCGCGTGTTTGCCTTTGCCAAGGTGCCGTACCCTCATATAATTTATCTGTATTAATTACATACACACAAACATTATGTGCATATTCGAATAGGTGTATGTGTTGAGGATTTCCGGTTTTTCCTGTAACGATTTCGATGTGGGAGTGCAAAAAAGCACACAGTGGACCGTACGGATGTACGGGTATTGTACGGCTATTTTGCAAACATGTGGATAAGGAATATAGCCGTTAAGGAGGTTTCGCAGATGGGCATGTGTGTCCGCGTGTGTGGGAGTTTGGGAAGGGGGTAGGGGGGAAGAGGGTGTTTTGTGTTTTACCTTGCTTTCCCCCCCTCCCGTTCCCCCCTAACACACACCCATACCAAGATCTGTGCGGCCCCCACTCCCCCTCCGCACATTCTGCGTTCCCCGATTCCCAGTTCACCTTCCCCCCGCACCCATCTCCCCCCCCGAAACACCCCCGAAACACAAACACACACACACATTGCCTCATCAGGCTATGCTCCAATCCGCCTTCCGAGTCACGCTTCCCACCACGGGTGCCCATGTACGGCTGCGAATTGGCCTTCACAGCGGTCCGGTCGTCAGCGGCCTTGTGGGCACCCGCATGCCGCGGTTTTGTCTGTTTGGCGACACCATCAACACCGCCAGTCGCATGGAGAGCACCGGCGTGGCGGGCTGCATACACGCCAGCGACAGCGCATTTGAGCTGTTGCGCGGCCTCGCGGAGGCGGAGGGCGGGTGGGCGGCCACGGGCGGCATCGAGGTGAGAGCTTTGGGCGGTGGCACTGGCGGCAGTTTTAAGATTTTAGGGTTTTATGTGATTTGCGGGGTTGGGTCTTGGGGTTTTATTAGACCGGTTTTATTAGACCGGTTTTATTAGATCGGATTGGACCTTTTGGTGATGTGTTTGTTGGTGGTGAGGAGCGCCTTCCCTTTTCTCGATTGTGTACGATTTTATTGTCGTAATAGGTGAAGGGGAAGGGACTGATGCAGACACATTTGTGGACGCCGCCGCCACAACCGCCGCCGCCGACGACGACGACGACGGCGGCGGCGGCGGCGGCGACGACAACACCTGTGAGTAACGGCGGCAGCGGCGGAGGCACCCCCGCCGCCGTCGCCGCTACTGTTGAGGGTGCTTTGGCTCATGCCCTACGGATACGCACGTTTTGTAGTCCTCGATCGTTGTTGGGCTCCGACCTCCTGGCGGCGGAGGCCGTCGCCGCCGCCGACGAACCGGCGGGCGACGGTTGCGGAAGCGGAAGCGCCGCCGCCGTCGTGGGGGTGGCCACAGCTGCGGCGGCTACGCGCAGCGGCATGAGCGAGGGCGACGTGGCGTCAGCGTCAGCAGTTCGCTCCGGCGGTTCTGCCGCTGCGGCCTTGCAGTACTACAGCTTACGGACTGGCGGCGGCAGTAGCAGCAACAGCGATAACGTTGAATTACGGCGTGCCGTCAACTCCGTCGGGATAAGCGCTGAAGTTGCCAGTCCGAAAACGCCGCAGGAGATTATTGCGGCTGCGACGGCGGCAGTCGCAGCTTCGGCGGCGGTGACGGGGACGGCGGTACAGCCGATGGGTCCGGTTGCCGTACCACCTGCCGACATTGCCAACCGTGGCTTTACCGCTCGCCCCTCTCGCTTCGTGCCGATGCCGAGCTTGGCCGCCGGTGGCGGTGGCGGCAGCGGCAGCGGCGGCGGCGCCGCCGCCGCCGCCACCAGCGGCAGCAGCCCCGGCATTATCGCCCGCTCCGTGTCGGCTCCGTCAACCTCCGTGCTGCAGTTCCTTCGGGCTGGGTCAACGTTGGCGGCGGTGGGCGCTGACGTCAGCTGGGACGGCGCTGGCGCATTGCCGTCGACGGCGGCGTCGGCGCTGATGCAGGACCGCGACCTTGAATCTGTAGTACACGCCCCGTTGCAGCCCATGCCGCTGGCCTTGCCCCTCTCGCCCACCGCTGTTGCCGCCGCCGCCGCTAGCTCTAATAAACCCGGCACCGCGGCCGCCGCAGCCGCCGTCGCCGCTGCTCGAGGCGTCGCTGTCGGCCATGGAGCCGTGGTACGGCGGATAGCCAATCCAATGCTTCCTGCCGCCGTCGCTGCAGCTGCTTACGGCGGCGCTTACGACGTCGATGATGACGACATCAACGCCGCCGCCACCACCGCCGCTGCCGAAAGCGGCGTCAGCGCACCTCTATCCGTCGCATCCCCGTCTGCGGATCTCGACTTGACGTTCACTGTGGCGGCGGTGGCGGCAGCGCTTGCGGCTCGTGCCTCCGCGCCCCCATATACGACATGCCGTACCGTCGACGACGCTGACACGGATAACGAGGTCTCCTGCAGCGTCACCCTGGAACCCGCCGCCGCTGGGCGGGCTCGTCCCGCCTCCGCCGACGCCGGTACGGCAGCGGCGTTAGTCCTCAACCCCAGCTGGCTTCTTTCGGAAGACGCCGAGGTCGGCAGCGGCAGCGGCACCGTCGGCAGCGGTGCACACGTACAGCCCCTCAACGCCAGCGCCCCCTTCAGCGGCTTGCCTGTACGGCTGGGCTTTGGTAGCCCGGCGTCGAGTGCCGCCACCGGCGGCTTCGCGTCGAACGTGCTGCTCCAGGGATCCCCTACCTTCCGAGTTGCCGTACACAACAACAGCGGTAATCTGGGCAGCGGCGGCGGCATTGCCGTCGGGTCATTGCCGTCGTTGCTCGGGCACCCGGGGGGCCACCCGCTTGCTGGCGGGGGGGGCCCCTCTCTTTATGTTCTCACGCGCTTTGCGTAGGTAGGCGGGTAGGCGGGTGGGCAAACAACGCCGCGGTTGGGGGCCCCTTCAGGCATTTTTTGGTTAAAAAAAAACCTTTTTGGGGAAGAGGAGAGGAGTCTCTATTGTGCGTGTGTATGAATGTGTGTATTTATGCGTGCGTGCGTGTAAATGAGGTGTATTTTGTGTTTCTGCGGCAAAGTTGCGAAAATAATAACCATGTATATGTTTATTCATGCCTTCAGACTATTTAGACAACGTTAAGACACACAGCAGCAAAAGGGATGACCAGTGGTGGGGGTAGTGGGGGTTGTTGGTTGGTGGTGGTGGTGGCGGTATGCGAAGGGGGGTGGTATGGGAGGGAGGAAGCGGAAGTCATCATCCTTTTACAAACCCACGGGGAAAGGAAAAGCGATAGATACACGTGCATACATGCATTACATACATACAGATAGACAGCTCTTTAACACAACCGCTTTCCTCCTCCCATTCCATGCAGTTTCCCCCTCTCCCCCTCTCCAATTCCCTCCTCCCGACCACTCCGGTCGGCTCGTCCAGCCGTCATCTTCGTATTGCTGTCTGCCGGCAAAAACACAAACATACAAAAAAGAGAGAGGTGATGTCTTTTATGCTGTTTCCCCCTTTCCCCCCCCCCCACACACACAAAACACACGTCGTACTCCCCTATCCCACCCCATCGCATTCCCGGGCTCATGTGCTCGTTATGCGTTTGCACGGTAGTAAGACGTTTGTCTGTCCGTTTGTTTGTTTGTTTGTTTTTCGTCGTTTCTTAATAAAACGCATGCATTCATGTTCTTACCCAGTTTTGCGGTGACGGTATGCGACGTTGACGGTTACATGGCGCTGCGCTGTGCGTCAATCTGTCTGTCTGTCTGTTTGTTTGTTTGTGCGTCTCTCGTGAACCCCTGTCGGAGATCTTTCATGACCAATTTCCGTTCGCGTTCGTACCAGCCGATTCCGATTGAGGGGTGGCAGTGGCAGTGGCAGCCGCGGTTGCGATGTTTGTTTTACGGCAGGTTTTTACTTTGCGTGTGCGTGTGTGTCCTAAACAGGCTCTAGTAGTTTGTGGGCTTCCGAGGCAATAATAATGGCAGTAATGGATGCAGGTGGATGGCAGGTGGATGCGTGTTCCCCAATTTTGAGACGTTGCGGGACGACGCCGCGGCGGCGGCGCCCCGGCAAGTGATTTGATGGCGGCATCGTTATCGTTCTCAGTTTTCGCTGCAGGTCGCTGTGAACCCCTTCGGACCCTTTTTCATTCATTCATGTGTGAGTGTGTGCGCTATATAGGTTGGGCGGCTCATAAACATATAATATTTATAACATGGCCGTTGGGTTGAAATGCAGCGTGCGCCGTATCTCTGTGCCGATCAGTACGACAGCAGTACCGTTGTACACTGAGAATAAATACGTCTATGCATATATCTCAATTGATATTAAAGTTCATGGGGACCGGGACGCGAAGGGAGGGAAGGAGGGTTGTACATGACCCGCACTACCCGCACATGATTTGAATTTCGAGAGAATGAGAGAGAGAGAGAGAGAGAGAGAGGGAGGGAGGGAAGGAGGGTTGTAGAGGAGGTTGGTTGGTGTTAAAAAAACAAATATGGTGTGTCATGCTTGGCCTTGCGTGTTTTTTGTGGATTCGTACTTGACGTACGGGAGCGCCCCCAGAGTGCCGTACCCATTGCTGCCAAAGAGCTGCGATGGCCCCCATGGTGTTTTCCCACCTGCCGCAACCCCGCGGTCCGTAACGCCGTACATACGTCGTACTAGGTAAGCCTTTTGCTGTCGGTGACCCGGTGGTCCATTCATGGTTGGTGTTTCCTTTCTGTACTTCTTTTTCTTCAGCGCGAAGTCCAGGGGGGGTTTCGAAGGCACTTAATGAGTGCTGTACGACGACTCGTCATCCACTGGTGGCTTGGATTCTTTTAGGTACCTGTGCATGGCCGGTTGGTCGGTTGGATGGTTGGTTGGTTAGATGGTTGGTTGGTTAGAAGGTCGGCTAGATGGTCGGTTGATTGGTTAGATGGACGGTTGGAGGGTTGGTTGGTTAGTTCAGTTAGGGGAGTAGAGGTTAACGCCAAACGCCAGACGCTGATGATCACGATATGAGGGAAAAAGGAGGCGGGGGACGGGCGATGATTTGGAGATGGGCGTGGGGGGAATGTGCGACCTGCAGCACCTCCAGCTAGTGGACATTACAACCCCCGACTGCTGCTACTGCGTCCCTGGAGGGGGGAGGCACGGTAATGGCGATGTTGATTCGATTGGGAGGGGAAGGAGAAAAGTTGGGGGGTTGGTAGTTCGATGAAAATGTATGATGACGATAGTGCACTGGAGTAATGAACAGGGCGGCGGGTGCCCGGCGTGTGTGCGTGTGTCTGCATGTTTGTGTGTGTGTGTGTGTGTGTGTGTGTGTGTGTGTGTGTGTGTGTGTGTGTGTGTGTGTCTCTGCATGTGTGTGTTATCACGGACGCCCCGGAGGATGGCGAGAGAAGGGTGTGTACAAATATGCTCGAATATTCCCGCGCTGTCCTCATTTGTGGTACCTATGTGGGGTGCTAAGGGCGGTTCTATTTCAACGATAGACATGTATAGGGCCCTTGAGCAGCGAGGTGGCAGGAGCAGCGGGCCACGGCCACGCCGGCGGCGGCGCCGGCGGTGAAGGACACACCGGTCACGAAAGCTAGATGGGAGCGGACGGGACGGCAAAGAGTGAGCGATTGCGGGCACGCGGCTGTGCACCTTATATTTCATAATTAGTTTTGGATCGGTTGGTGGTTCGCGTTCGTTGGCCAGTGTGGCGGTTGCCCCAGGTGTACGGCCGGCATGTGCCGCGATACGCCTGTCGCGGTGTGGTTGCTGTTTCCGGGTTCTCTAAAGTGGAGCCGACCTTTACTGGAGCTGGAAAATATAATATATATTTCATGGCGCAAACTAAAGCACATTGCGATAAGTGGAAGTTTTTCTATTTAATAAGGGTAATTTTACCGGCAGTACCGACACACACCGTCGCGCCCGCGCGTTTTTGTGCGCGCACCTTTCCCCCCCGCCCCCCAGACGTCTGTATGGAATCCTCTATTTCGATAGGCAGCTGTAAAAAATTCAACAACGATGTCAATAAAAAAAAACCGGAAGCGCACTCGGCAGCGACCCACGCGCTACTGCTGCGCACGCTTGTGCTCGGGACATGACATGGCATGATATTTTGTTACCATGCGGTTGGCTTGGCTGGGCCGATGATATCCCGGCTTCATGCTTCGCTTGCCTCCCGGTCGACTGGCTCTGTCGCGTCTGGGGCCGCCGATTTATTCACATACGGTAGCTGCAAATTCATGCCGTGTTCGCTGGCGCTGCTATGTATTCGTACGGCGATCCCTTACTTAAAAACCGGGAGCACGGTGGATGGTGCTATATGGTGATCAATTGTAGAAATGACAATGTGTTCAAGTGGCCCAGAAGCCTCCCACTCTGTAACAATAAGATCGGGAGCAAGGGGTTGTTTCAATGTGTTGGCGTAGTGAGTGCTTTTGCGTCTTTAGCATCGGAGCCCAATAGTGCGCGAGTCTGAATCGCCACCACCTCTTCCACTACACAAAACCATATTTCAGCGTCGCGCACAGAGTGTTGTTGGTGCCGATGAAACTGTGTTGTCTGCTCTCTCTGCTCTCATAATAAGAGTATACGTATACTCTCAACATGTATATGTTTAGGGGCGCCGAGGGCGGCAGAGAGGTACCTCCCGTGGTGCCATATGAAACGGTTGGAATAGCGGGACGAGTGCCGTACACACACACACACACACATCCTCGACACCCACCCACCACCGAGGGGCTCGGGTCCCTCTGTCGGTTTGGTATTTGCGACGTCGTGCGTGGGGTGTGTGTGTGTGTGTGTGTGTGTGCTTCGGTTGCGTGGCTGCTTCTGTTCCTCTTTCGATGCAGCATACTACAGACATAGCATGATTTGATAATGATAATGACAACAATAATATTAATATTAACGGTAACGGTACGGCAGCAGTAGCGTGTGGAACGTCGTTCAAGCCGTTATAGCGTTACACGCACGAACTCTGAGTCGAAGATTGCGAGAAAATTCCTCGAGAAGCTGTGTCAGCGGCGGATACGCATTGCCGTGTGTGCCTATGCCCCTGGTGGGAGAGGGAGGACCTGCCGCCGCGCGGCCGAGAGCTGTTAGATCCCCCTGTACCCTGAGCCAGCTGTGAGAATGAGTCTGCTGTACAACTTGTTGTTAAAGTATCTCTCTAGTAAAAGTTTTGAGATTGTTGTCGCATGCACTTCGGCGAAGGAGTGGACACTGGAAGCTGAATCCCAGTCCGTGAGTCCAGGCTTGAAACGTCAGGAAGAGACATACACACATACACATATACACACACACACACACACACACGCGCGCGCACAAACACACACAAGCAAACAAGCTAAGATTGGAAGCCTCGCCCCAACCAAGCTGTAGCGCGGGCTATAAGATGAGAGCCGCCGAAGCAAAAGGGTACTGTTGCTGCACACACAAAGTTCTTCCGACGGAGAAGAGAATCAACCAACAATGCGCAACACGCTGGGCGACACCTCTTCTCTCTCTTCGCCTATAAATATTTTCACATACAGTACAGACATACAGATTGACACACTCAAAAACGGATAACGCAGATTGCCGCGCACTGCAGTTAGTTGCCGCCACCGCCCGCCACGCCCCCGTCGCCAGGAGCGGCGGCGGCGATGACCTTGCGGGCTCGGCCTCCACCACTGCCGTTCCCGTTCAGGGCTGGCCTGGGGCGTGAGAAGAGGCGGGAAAGGAGGTGCACTTCTGTGTATGTATGTATGTATGTGTGTGTACGCGGCTCTTTGCGGCTCCCTCCCCCCCCGTGTGGTGATGTCCTTTTTGCACAACCTTTTCGCCACCTTTGATGACATGCTGGACCACTACAAGGTCTATAAAGTACGGCATGCGGTCGTACGGCATGGGGTAGTAGGATACGGGGTGATACGGCAGGGGGTTGGGATGTGGGTCAGGTGCATATCTTCCGAAGAAACAAGAAACTGACAAACCAACAAACTGACAAACGCCTCTTCTGGGCTCGGGGGCGAGTGTGGGGCTTTTCAATTTGCGTAAACTAGGCTTTTTATATACATACAGACATACCCCACCTCACCATGGACTCTCATTCCCTTCCTGCTGACATCACTTCGCCCCCTCAACCTAATCAAGTGGGTAAAATGCGGAATGATGCGGTGTGTGACTCTAAATGTTGTTGTGGGGGTTTGCATCGACATTGATGACATCCGAGTCCAATGCACTTTCACGCTGTTTGTAATCATATGGCGATATTATGTTTACGACAGATATAGATACAGTGGACCGTGGCACAGCCACGCCAAGGTATAGGCAGCTTAAGAAAACGTACAAATGACAAAACCCTTTCGTTTGCCCAAATCAGTAAGGACTGTTATTTGGGTTTAGCTCGTCCAGCATGAACTGCCTTGCAAACCGAAATTAACCGCCACTGCTGCTACTTACGGGGCAGCTGCCAATACCACTCCAGACGCCGACAATGACGAAGCTGACGTCGAAGTCGCTCACACCCGCGTGCGTGGTCAGCGGCATAAACACAAGGAGTTCGCCCCCCCCCTATACCACAGCCGCACCCCACTACTGTACACCTGAGCGCGCCTCATTACTCGTCACTCGTCAGTCACTAAACAAACAAATGCATCGCAATTGCAACCCCATGCGCTGCAAAGTCCGGCAGCAGAACCTCCACCACTCGGCCCCGCGCTACAAGATCTACAAACGCTTCCTCACCCGCACATTCAACCTGCCCATCGCCATTAAACTCCGCGCCTGCCCGCCCTAATCCCATCCCACTTCCGCCAGCAGCCGCGGAAAATCCGTTGCCGATGCCGCCGCCGATGCTACCAGTGGCCCCCGGCTTGCAACCGCTACTACCGAAGCCACCACCAAAAGCCCTCATCAGAATTGCCGTATCTGCCTGCGCCTTGAGGCTGTTGCCCACCAAGGCTACGTTGCGCAGCGTGCCTACCGCCAAGTTGTGCCGTACAATCATGTCGTACACCTCTCGTGGACAGCAAGGCGCATAGAAGAGTGTGGGCTCATGTGCGACGAGGGCAACCGTGGGTGCGGCTGCAGCAGCAATGGTGATGGCAGCTCTTTGGCCTCGCCTCTGACCATCCTCATCCTGGGCACACTCAGGCGTGCTTCCTTCCTCCTCCTGCTCTTCAACCACACCTCCTACTCCAGGGGGGAGTCTCCTGCTGACACCATCATGGGGGGTGCCCCACCAGAGCTGCCGTACGAGCCGTACATCCCATTCTAGATATTCGGGGTCAAAGTATTGCACCTGCGCCTGCGCTTCCTGAGCTGCTATTTCCTGTACAACTGCATCAGCTGTAGCTGTAGCTGCCGTGTCGGCTTCGATTTTGCTTAGAGCGGTCGGTACGGCGATTTCGCTGGTAGCCTGTTGTAAGGGCTCCCCCAGCCCGGGTAGTACAGCGGGTGATGCAAGGACCAGAGATAACGCCAGCTGGTACAACCTGCAGCCGTACAGCAGTACAATGGTACGGCATTGTAGTGCATTCGAGTACGATGTACAACAGAACAAGTTGGCGAGAAGCCCTCGAGCAAGGGAAGGCCGTCATCGTTCTTTCTTCTCCACTGGTCGTCCACTGTGTCGCCCAGTGCCCTTCCACGCACTGGCAGGGCATGGGGATCCTTTCCGTACCCTCAAGGAACTGCCGGTGTACCCCGTGATTATCACACAGGGCGAATGTTACAGTCCCTTTTTTCCCTCCGGTCATATATAAATGTTGTGCCCGGGTGTATCTCCCGGGTGCCTTGGAGACCTGTCAGCTACTGATTATCCATGTTGTTGTTAGGGTTGTTGTTGCTGCTGTCGTCTAATCAGGCTATCTGGAGAAGATTCTCCCTGACCGGACTGACGTGCTGTACGTTAGCAGGCTCCACCACAATAGCAGTAAAACACCACCACACCACCACACCACCACACCACCACACCACCACAACAACACGCACCTGGAAGCGGCCCGGGTGCTGTCACGTTCCGTTTGCTGTCCGCTTCGCAAAGCCGCCTGGTAGGTACCCAGGGAACCCAAACCCACCACAACCACGTGTCGTACGCGCCGCCAGTCCCAGCAGTCGTACGCGCTGCCGTACCCATGGCTACCGGAACTCAAGCCATCGCCCATTACTGTTCTACTGCTCTTAGTGCTGTTAATCTCACCGCTGGAGGAACTGTTATTATTTGTATTGTTGTTGCTGCTGTGCCCGCCCGGGGTGATATTGCATCCGGAAGAAGAAGCCCATTTTGCGGGTGGGTGTGGAGAACTTGCGGCGGTGCCGCCGCCGCCGCCGCCGCTGTGCGGTCCGCCGGTCCTCCTCTCGCTGCCGCCAGCCCGTGCCGTATTCACTCGCGCCTGGCATGAATCGATGGCGTTCAGCAGTAATGCCTTGTCCCTGTGTGACGTCATCAAGGCGGCAACCTCCTGAACCAGCGATGCGACGCTGTCAAGACTTGCTCGAAGCCCTGCGTCGGCATCTGGCGTGCCAGGATTCAATGCCGTACACGATGTGGGTTTGGGTGTGCTTTCGGCCGCGGTTGCTGGGGCGGAGGCAGCGGAGGCGGTGGCTGTTGCGAGGCTACTTTTGCGTTCAGAAGGAGAAGTAGGGGAGGTGGGGGACCCCCAGGTGGCAGCGTTCAAATCCGGGGCGTCAAGGAGCAGGCGGAGAAGATGCTGTCCTATCGCTGTACGACTGCCGTACAGATTCCGATTGGGGGTGCTGGGTTCAGATGTAAGGCCGGCGTTGACCTGCCGGCTGGAGGAAGCTCGGAGCCCGGGTCCTTTGATGCTCTGCTTTAAAAGGTGGTAGCGGCTTCGGTGGGAGGTAGCATGGACACGGAAGGATTGCGAAGAGGAGCCTACGCTGCGGAAAGCGCTCAGCGGTCGTGAAGGAGCTGGATTCGCATGGCGTCTTCGTATGTTGTGCGTCGTTGGGAAAATGGTTTGTGAGGCCCTGCTTTGCATGCTACTGTAAAGGCGTGCAATGAAATGCAGGTACCCCGTGATGATTACGTAATCAGCCTCACATTCAGGTAAGGAATGACACAGCTTATCACCCAACAAATATTCTTATCCTGGTGGGTCTCTACCTTGCCTTGGTCGTTGGTTCCGTACTGGTGTACCGACATCTTGCCGAGACAGCTCAATTTGGTCGAGTAAGATTATTCCTGTATGTTACATATATGACACGTAAATATTATTTCTGTGTCACAGTCTTGGATAACACTGGCTGAACCCGTCTTTCATTGTTGCTACATGCTAAATGTCTACCCTAAAATGACTTCCCTCTTCCTATAATTATCATCTTTTACAGTATAACTTTTGTAAAAGCTTCACTGAGTCGCGTTGCTAGGCAGGCCCTGAGTGGCCCGGTCAGTCGGTAGCTTCATCGGGCATATGCCACGCAGCATCTGGAAGGGTCCTTATGTGGCCGTTAGCCTACTTCAAGATGTCGTGAACCTTGCGCGGAAGCATCCCGATTGGTGGAACAAGGGCCGCTTTTTGGGACAGAAAGCGCCGGAGGTCATCAACACCTACAGCAGAGCTTCAGTCATCCTTCCTGACTTCCTGGCATGCCGCTTCGGTGTGCATAATGGGAAGAGCTTCACCAACTTGGAGGTGCAGGAGGCGATGGTTGGCCATCGGCTGGGTGAATTTTCGCCGACGAAAGTGATAGCGAAGCATAAGGCTAAGGAAAGCACTTCGGTGGTGAAGAAGAAAATCAACCCGAAGACAGGCAAGGCAGGGTAGCCCTGGTCCTCGCAAGATGACCCTGCGGGTCTGCACTTGTGGCAACTACGTTTTGGTGCCGCACGGCGCACATGACATTTGAATGGAATGGAGTGCTGCGATGCGAAGGTAGCAGACAACATGCACAGGCTTGAAGGAAGTGCAGCTCCATGCGGCTGCTCAGGGACGCGGCACGCCCCTCGAATGGAGCATTTAAAGGTCCTCTGGCAGGTTTACGACGTTGTCCTTGGGCACTAAAGTTTTGAGTTGGCATGGCTCAATTAAACGAGTATCGAGGGACGCAGCTTATGCCGCGTGGAATTGGTCCCTTGCCCACGTGGCGTCGTGTGTAAACCGAAACGGCGGCATTTTTTGCTGATGTCACCGTGGGTAGAGGTGTTTTACCCCGCGCTTGTTACTAGCACATATTGAAGGCCCTATTCAACCCCGGATGGACGCTGCCATCGCCGGCACGTAATGTAATTCCAAAAGGATGTCCTGACAAGAGCAGGATTTAATGAGGCCATGGGAACAGAAGGGAGCGATTGTGGTGGTGGTAGTGGTGATGTGCAATAGGGGCCCCTCTCTTCCAGAGAGTTCGTACATACACACACGCGTGACGTGACGATGGTGAAACTTCCGGCCGGTGGCGGAATGAGTTCATGACGCATAGGACTGGACGAGGTCGTGTACAGATTGGTCTGCTGCAGTACTTGTGTCCCCTATACCCTTGTCGCATAGAGTGACGGCTTACGAGTCGTGACGGACTGGCGGTGTAACCAATGGGTCGCAGTGGACCCCTCACTGCGAAGCACTTTTGGTAGCGCGCATCGCTTCCACGAAATATCTTTCCTTCTGGATCCAGGACGGGTTCGAATGGGTTGTGTCCAGGGCATCGTGCAGCTGCGCGAATTGTGTATAGCCGTGGCCCGGAAGTATGTTGCTGCCACGCACATATGCTCTAAGCAATAAATGCGCGCCAAACAAGTCATCATCTAGGTGAGAAATGCTACCATAACGCATTTCGACAGTTTAGCCGAACTTCAGCTACGTAACACCACATTGCCTTTTCCCTGCCGGTCGACCATCACACTGTTACAGCCTCTGTGCTCAGTCCGCACGTTCTGTCTTTTGGGCAAATTTAATTTTAAACCATATATGATTCGGTTACAGCCGGGGATCAATTTTGCACTGCTTTTCCGCAATGGAACCAACTGTATGTGTGTTACACCGTGATATACTCCTTTCCTGCCTTGCCCTTTTTCAAGGGTATAACCCGGGGGGGTCCCATACATACATACATACCTGGAGCGCTGAGGGGGGGCCCCAAAAGGGCTTTAGGGACTGAAGGCTGTCTCCGAGCTAGACACACTAGACATCCACTGCGCGGCACGTGATTCTTAATTCCCCTAAACACCGAGCGATGAGCGATGCTGCAGCAGCGGTGATCCAGCACTGGTGATCCAGAAGATCACCAGTGCTAAGCTGCCCGCTGAGCAGCCCAACCACCATGTGATGTGGAATTGGCTGCTCACGTAGTAGCCCAACAAGCCACACGGGCACCCCAAGGACAAGGACCTCCGGATCGTGATCTGGTTATTGTTACCGCCTGTGTTACGGAACCCCTCCATGCTACTGTATCGCAGCCTCACAAGCTCGACATAGAGTTTTCTAGTCTAGTAGACTATGCAACTGTGGTAGAGGGAAAGTGACGAGAGAAAAAGGGGGGCAAAGGGAGAAGAGGGGTCGCTAAATGATGATGCGCTAAAAAACACAGCCATCCTGCCAAACCCGTAAACCCCGCGAGTACCCGAAAGTAAAATACCCAACCAAATCCAAGAGGCCAACTCGCACATAACCGGCTTTCAGAGGCCCTATATCAAGTAACGCTGGATCCTAATTTGCAAGGAGAAGCTGGGCGCCGGGCATTCCACAGAGCGATAGAGGAACATAGACAAACAGGAACAGACAGGAACACAACACAAATGCAGAAGAACCCCCCCCCAGGTATTGGCCAAAGGCCCGCACCCAAAGTCTTTTTGTCCACACACGCCCTATTCGGTACCGCTCTTTACTCACTGCTCACAACCAACGAAAGCCGCTCCAGACAATGTAAATGCACGTCCCAAAAAGCAAAAGTCCCAGCTCCCTCGCCTGCCCCAACCCGCCTGCCCCTACCCCTTGCTCTCCCCTTTCCCCCTGCCTTCTCCCCCACCACCGCCCTACTCCCACAACCGGCTGCCTGAGGCCCCACACACAATCCTATTCACACACATACATACACCCTCACACACCCTCTCTCTCCCTCACACACACATACATACACATACACACGCTATTCACTTCCAAAACAATCACATATCCCGCCTATCGTCTTCCCGCTCCGTTGCAGCTTCTCACCGCAGCCACCTTAACCACGCTGTACAGCTGCAACACGTTACCGCACGCGCCAAAAGCCCAGCCCTAAACGTACCTCCCCTTTACATTCACCAACCCCTAACATCCCTGCCCCCTCATCGCTTAGGACTCCAGCAGTTTCGGACTTTGGAAAGTCCGGCAGTTCATTTCGGAGTTTTCCTCGCACATAATCCACCCCCCCGTCGTTACCCTTATCGTGCAGTGAACGAAGCCCCGGACATAGAGAACAACGAGCTCAGCCGCTCAGCCAGAGACGACCCCTCCGGAAGCGCGGCCCCTTCAGCAGCCACCACAGACGCCGTCCCCGATGACGCGGCGGTTCCTGCGCCAACCACCACGGGCGGACCGCTAGCGGCGGCGGAGCCGCCGCCGCCGCTGCCGCCGGCGCCGGCCTTGCCGCCGCTGCTGGCCTCCGTCCCTGAAGCGGTTCCGCCCATGTACATGGTGTAGAGGCAGTAACCGCCCAGGGCTGCGGCAGTCAGCGCCACTCCGCCCACCACGAGACGGCGCTGCAGACGGCGTCGGTCTTTACGTACGGGTGTATCGGGGATGTGCGCCTCGGGGGCCAGGAACGAGGCGGACAGGATTTGCCTGTGCCACAAAATGCAAAGAAACGAAAAGGAGGGAACGCACAATCAACGGAAGTTGTTACAAAACGCCGTGTGCAAGTAGTGTACAATACGGGAAGACGAGTGTGTGTGCGTTATGTGGTTATAGAAGAGTGGAACGTGTCAATGCCAATAAAAGGTCTTAGGAGGGCGTGGCGACGGGGAAAGGGGAGGAGGTGGAGGCGGAGGTGGAGGTGGATCACCGAGGAGGGGCCATGAGAGGAGAGGGGACGTTGAGACTTCTACCACATCCAACCACCGTTCTGAAGGAAGAAGATGGAAGAGGGAAGAGCGCATTGGAATACCCATGTAGGGGAGTTCAGGGATATACAAAAGGCCGAGCACGTTGCGCGCACTGCGGCACCCGGCAGGGTCGCACCCATACCCCCAATCGCACCTCCCAACTCAAAATGCCCTCTTGCTACCCCCCCTTCTCTCCCTCTCTCTCCCCCTCCCCCTTCACGACGTCTCCTACTATAGGCAAGCGCGTCACATTACCACTACTATTAGTACCACTACTACTACCAACGCTAGTACTACCACTACTACTACTACTACTACTACGTCTATCACTAGTACTCGTCCAAGCTCACCTGAAGACCCCGCCCATGGCGGCCATATCTGCTGCCGCCACCGGCAGCGGGTCCGGCAGTGACAGCTCCCCACTCGCTGCCAGCACCCTCTCCCGCAGCTCGCCGTTCATGCCCACATCGTCCTTGGTGGCCACCAGCAGCACCGGCAGGGTCTCACAGCTGGGGAAAGGCGCGGGTGGGGGTGGGGGTGGGGGCGCGGGTGGGGGCGCGGGTGAGGGCGAAGGGTGGCAGAGGAGGGAATAGATATGGCAACGACGACAAGGACGAGGTAAGGGAAACCGTGCAACCCTGCTTTTAGCTTCCCCACACACCCCGAGGCTACCCCGGGCAGTGCTACTGCTACTGCTACTACAGCAGCAATAGAGGCGGCATTGCAGCTGATATGTACGGATATGCACCAGTCGACATGGTCATGAATGTTAGTACGCCAAGACCTAACAGCGTTCATATTCCTGTGCTTCGTACACCATGTTAGATGTACGGATATTATATAATATATATATGCATATGCACAGGTAGCAGTCTTTTTAGTCCATCCTTCTGCATTATATACTCCGGCACCAGCCACCCAGGTCGCCAAAGTTCCCACGTCACCTTCGCCCTGCAACCACGCACAACTTCTTCTCCCGCCCGCAGGCCCCCCGGCCTCCCATACACACACACAGCCCACCCTCACCTACCCCGGTAATCCACACAGCGTAAGCATGGACCTGTGCGCCCAGGCCCAAGAGTCCGCGCTGGTGCTGTCAAACAAAAACACCGCACAATCGCAACGGGCCAAATCCGGCAGGCTATACACAGCTCCGGAACCAGCAGCAGCCTGGGAGAAAAAGCCCGCCGCAGGCGACGGCGGCGTCGGCGTCGGCGCTGAGCTGGGACCAGGACTGGGGGCCGTCGGCGCCGACGATGACTCGACGGCAGCCCCGGCGGCTGCCGCTGTTGCTGCAGCAGAGATGGCGGCGGTGGGGGTCGAGGGAATTGCCGTACTCGTGGTGCTGGTGGTGGTAGTAGAGGTGGTTGGGGGGTGGGAAGAGATAGCGAAGGGCGGTAGCAGGCTCGCTGCTGCTGCGGCGGCGGCGGCGGCGGCTGCTCCTGAGTGTGTGGTGGGGCGACCCGACAGGGTGGCGGCGGTTAGCAGCTCGTTGGTCAAGTCCTCTGGAACCTAGGGGGGGTATTTTGGGGGGTCCCCAGGGAAAAGAGGAAAAAGGGGGGGGGAAAGACGAACCACGAACGAGTGATGCCGCTGGAAAAGGAGGGGGGCCAAGTCAAGCGCAAACAAGATAACCTGTCGGCGAGGAACAAGGGGACGGGGGCGAAAGACGCAACAGCTAAACTTGGAAGGGAAATTCGAGGTGGGGAGGAAGCCATATACGCCAAATGCAATATGTGGCATGCGCATAAGCATGAGATGAGGGCCCCAAAGAGCGGAAGCACCAAAGAGGGGTTGAGAGGATGGGTTTCGGAAAGTGGAGCGGGCAGCAGATCAGTGCGGAGAGTGGGAGGGCACGTCAGACAGGGGAATCTGTAACACCCACACACACACCCGAATTCCGCCTACTGGTCAGTTCTGCTTCTTGCACACTCTTTCCTTGGCAGCAGCTTCACTCGTTCGTGGTTCGTCCTTCCTCTTCCCCCCCGCGGCCCCCCCACCCCTCCACCACCCCCACCACAGGGACACCAGCAGAGCTTCCCCCCTCCTCCCCTTCCCTCTCCCCACCTCAACCAACGCAAGAGTGCGGTCCCGTCCGTCGTCGCACGTGACGGTCGCCAACGCCGTCAGTGACGGTGCCCCGCCAGCCGCCGCCGCGGCGCCGCTGCCGCCTGGTCCCCCTCCCGCCTGGTCGCCCTCCGCCCTCCGCCCCGCAAGTGCTCGCAGCAGTGTGGACTTCCCGCAACCGCCGGTACCGAGCACGTAGCAAAGCGCCGTCGTTCTGCGAACAGCACCGGTGGGGACCGGAACAGGGGTGGGATAAAGGACACGGAACACGACTACCGCCAGTGGCCACCGCCAGGCCTTGAGGCCTGCTGACTTCGGAGCGGCCGAAGATTCAAAATCCGAGGCGCTGGCCGGAATCGCTCCCCGATGGCTCCTGCTGTCCTCGCCTTCCCAAACATTATTTCGTCATTTCAGACACCGCATACATACATACATACATACATATATATACAGTTTTACAATTATGTAATAATAAAGCTACACAACATGCTATAGGTAATATTGTAAAAAGCCTTTTGTGCGACTCCTAGCCTATTTTTCTTTCGTGCGCTCGACACCTAGTACCCAGTATCTTGGTAGCATCTCTGGCATCGAGCATGTTGTCGTACCTCTCCACAAGCTCTTCGCGGTGACGTTTGTCCGGCCGTCTCCGCTGCCGCCGTACAAGCAGATCGCCCGGCGAGCCCTCATACCCCAGGTACAGCAGATGCGCCAGAGTGGCCCGTGGGTCTGTCAGAGCGCAGTAGCGCCAACGCGCGATGAACGCGTCCATGTTGTGTACGGCGCCGTACGTGCCGCAAACCATGAGCCGGTTGACACGCTCGTTCTGTTAGAGAGGACGCCCAGGTGAGGTGAGAGGGGTAGGGTGGTCGAGGTCGATAGGGAGGAAATCCCAAACGACACGGTTTAGAAACGAAAACAGGTATAAGCACCGGCGTCAAGCGCAATGCGCGCGGCGCCATGCCATGAATTTTCCCCTTCTCCCCGCCTGCCTGCTACACCTGACATACGCACGGACACACAAACACACATTACACATGTATTCGCCCCTAGTCCACACGCAGACATGTCGACATACATACCGACATACGCATAACAACAAACGTCCGCACCTGCCACTCGGTGGGTAACGACGGTGCCGTACTGAAGAGCCCCTGTAGCTGCTCCCAGCTCAGCATCCCTTCGTCACGTGCGTCGTACAACGTGAACTGCTGCCGCAGGAACGTCACCGCGATGTCGCTCAGCTCCAAGACCTGAAACCGCCAACGGTGCCAGTGACGCCATCCGGCACATACATACATGACAGTGCCCCTCACGTTCACATTCACATTCTGCCCCTCGGGATTTGGGGACAATGTCTTCTTCTTCTTCTTCTTCTTCTATTTTTAATCATATGACACGAATCTTTACATGCGCAGTCAAAGCAAAACAACCGCTGACTGAGGGGAGGAGAAGGGGGGAGGAGAAGGGGGGAGGAGAAGGGGGGAGGAGAAGGGGGGAGGAGAAGGGGGGAGGAGAAGGGGGGAGGAGAAGGGGGGAGGAGATGGCGGGAGGAGATGGGGGGAGGAGAAGGGGGGAGGAGAAGGGGGGAGGAGAAGGGGGGAGGAGAAGGGGGGAGGAGATGGGGGGAGGAGAAGGGGGGAGGAGAAGAGAACGATAAATGCAAGCACACTCATGTTCAGAGGAAAGGCGAACATGAACTCGGAGCGAGAGGCAAGGAATACGGGGGAAGGTATATGCGAAACAAATCGGATACGAGATGTCGGCGCCCCAGTAATAAGGGGGAACAACAAGGGCGCGCTCCTTCCCAACCACCAACCGACCAACAATCAACAACCAACAAACCTTGCAAGCTCCCAACCTCAAATGCAGGAGGAAAAAAGCGATGCAGATGTCAGGGGGTGTCATCTGCATCGTTGTTTTCCTTCTTCGGAGGCATTTCCGGCTCCCCTGGGCCTCCCCCCCCCCACCTCCAACCATTTACCCCCATTCATACGGGCCCCCCCCCTGCGCGCACCTGGTCAGGCGGCAGGTGAACATTGACCCGGTCCAGCAGCTCATCACTCAACCGCAGCTGATCGTTGTAACCTGGATGAGGGGGGGAAGCGCGGGGGGGGGGCCCACGGGACTTTTTTCACCTTCACGAGTTCACCGGGGATGCGAACGAGGGTAGCCGCAGCGGGTGGTGGCAGGGAGTGGCGTATGAGGAGGAGCAGCTCGGGGCGTAAGAGGAGGAGGAGCAGCAAGCAGAATAAGCAGCAACAGCAGCAACAGCAGCAGCAGCAGCAGCAGCAGCAACAGCAGCAACAGCAGCAGCAGCAGCAGCAGGCGAAGCGGAAAAAGAGGAATAATACGTAAAGACGAAACAGGCGGGCGGGCGTCATTGATGTCGGGAAGCATATACCACATAATAAGAGCGACAAGTGATGCAATTTGGGCGGTTGGTAATCTGGGTAGTTGGAACGGGGGAGGCAAACCGTGGGAAGTGGAAGCCGGGGAGCAAGCAAAAACGTAAAAGCCCGTGTAAAGGTCTACACGCACACGTAAACATACATACAATATACACAACACACATACAACATACACAACATACAGTAACCTTTTCCTCTCCCTCTCTTACCATCCAGCCCTACCCCTGGCCAGCCTCACCGAATCGCCGCAGGACCTGCCAAACAGTCTCCAATCGGCCGCGTTCAATGAACAGGCCCTGCATGCACGCACACGGAAGAGGGCAAAACACAACACATAAGGAAAAAGGCGAAATTGCACTTTATGGGGTATCAGGCCCCAGGCATGAAGGGAGGGAATTATATGCAAAAGAAAGTATTAAAAAATCTTCAACCGACAAACCCGCCTGAATCCCATGGGGGCTGATTGGGGGCGCTAACATGCGTTATGGCGCAACCGATGACAAGTTCCAACAGCCCAAAGTCCGACACGCGTGTACGTACATACATACGTACAGAGATGGGAAACAAACAAACATAACACATACATACATACATACATACATACATACATACATACATACATACATACACATAAATATATACATACACACACGTGCCTGCAGGAACAGGAAGCCCTCCAGCGTAAGGCCCGTGTCCGTGTAGCCGTTGGGTACTTGCTGCCGTACAACCTGACACGTGGCCCATGCAAAAACGAGACGAGTTGAGCAAAGAGCGAAGATATGAGCATGAGCAAGGGGGGGGAGACAAGAGGTCCTTTTCCCTGTGCTCAACAATGAGACCCCCTACCTGCTTTATTCCCCGAAGCTCCTCGGCGCTTAGCGAGATGCCGAAGCACATGGATTGGAAGGCGTTGACCTCCGCGTCGGACAGAGTGCCGTCCTGAGAGAGCGTGTTAAGGGAGAGTGCGTGTGTGTATGTATGTGTGTGTGTGGCGTTGATGGGTGAAAAGGTGGGAAATTCATGATGCATGCGTCCCTGGAGTGCGGCGACCCGGCGGCCAGATGGCGAGTTGGGTCTGGTAGAGTGAGAAAAGGGGCGGGGTGGTCTGGAATGGGCTGATATGGTGGGTAAAGGTATTTACGAGACAGAGAAACGGCGGTATGTAGGTGGGTAGGTGAGTGAGCACACAGGAAAGAGCCGCGGCGAATGCGGACCAGACACTCATGCGCACATATCGTAGGGAAACCAAAAAAATGCTGTTGTCACACAATAAGGGTGCCGTCACCCACGCTGTAGCATTGGTGTGTACTTGTCGAGGACTTTCCCAGCACGGTCATCACCAATTGCACGTCTCGGGGTAATATTTGATTTCGTAACTTGTACAAAGCTCAAATCCCCCTCATAACCCAGCCCAACCCACACCACCTTGCAGCTTGATCAGTCCATTAAAACACACCACTGCAGAAGACGACACATTCAGCCGTTAGGGGCTTCAGACCTCTGCCAGCTTGACCTTTCCGAACTCCATCATATTTAGGGTTAGGATACAAATATTTCCCACTCGACTCCAGTCACTGTCCTCTTCTGCCCTGGCCTTCCTTCCCCTCCCCTTCCCCCTCCCCCTTCGCCTCCTCCGAGCTCGCACCTTGTCCGCATCGAATATAATAAAGATGCGCTTAAGCGCTCGTATAGCCGCCTGCCGTATAACGCGATCCGTCCTGTCGTACAGCGGCTGTAGCGGATACAGCACCGCCTTGAGCGCGTGGTAAAACACGTCTGGAGTTGGTTGGGGGGGGTGTTGTCGCAGGGGGCCGGAGATGTAGGTGAAAAAAGGGGTGCGGGGTTCACTAGGAATGCATGTGGAGATGTGGCCTTGGGCTGCAGCTATTTAAACTTTTGAAATGGCTTATGAGGTCACAAAGATCAGGTGGTACAGCGGAGGAAGAGAAAGGAGGCGGGGAGAGCGCAATCCGTTGGGCATTTGACGACGGAGGAGACACGCCAGTCCAGGGGGCGACATGACCACTCGACCGACCGCTAGCCAGCCTGCCAGCCAGAGGGTCAGCCAGAGGGTCAGCCAACCAGCTGTATGCACAGCCAGTATCCTTTGGCCTTCCAACCAACCAGCCTGCCTGCCCGCCTTCCATTCCTGGCTGCCTGCCAGCTAGCCCGCCCGTCCGCTCGCCAGGCCGTCCAGCCCTGCCAGCTAGCCAGGCTTGCAAGTCAGCCAGCAGCCATGCCTGCCTGTCTGCAGCCTTGCAGCCTAAAGCCTGTTGCGGCTTCCTTCCTGCCAGGCCCCCTTTCTGCCAGCTGTCTCCGTTCAGCCAACTAAAAACCAGGCAGGGGGCCTCCTGCAACCGCCTCTCCAACCCTACTTGGCTACGTCAGCGGCTTACGTGCCCCCTTCCGGGTCCCACTCCCACTCCCACTCCCACCCCCCGCCGGGCCGGGCCGGACCGGACCGGGCCTAACTCGGCCCCCACCAGACCGCCGGGGTCCGCAGCCTCCAAGCTACTGCCGGACTGCCTAGCTCCCGCCTTCCCTTTCTGGATGCATGAGTGAGGAGCTCAGTCCCTGCCCTGTCAGCGCTGGCCAGTCGGCTAGCTGCTGGACTGGTGGACTGGTCGGATACATGGCTGGCTGCGCAGGTGGCTGCCACCCCCCGGGTGTGCCAACCCCCGCGATAGGAAGACAAAACATGTGCATGGCTGGCTGGGACAGGCAGGGACAGGGCAGGGACTGGCTTCTTCCCTGGTTAGCGGGTTGGCTGCCCGCCTGCCTGCTCCCATACCGTCCCGCTGTCCTGCTATTAGCCGTGTCCTGCCCCGACAGGATGTACTTGCACAAGGCAACTCCATTGCCCAATGCCTTCTGCCGCCTAATGCCTTCTGCCGCCTAATGCCTTCTGCCGCCGCATAATGGACTCCATCGACTCGAGCGCGGAATTAGGCTAAGCCGGCGGGGACCCAGTGAAGGAGTCCCGACACAGCAAAGCACAACACTCTCCCCCAAGCAGGCTCCCGTTTGCCTCCGCTCCTCCCACCGCTTCTCCGCGCGCACACACTACATCGCCAGGCCTCCCGTCCCGTCCCTTACCTTACCTTACCTTACCTTACCTCTCCTCGTCAGCTGATCGCTCTGCGGAGTTGCGGAGTTGCGGAGTTGCGGAAACACAGCTCCCACGGTTGTCTGCCCCGCCCGCCCGCCCGAAAGACCCCACAAGACACCGACTGAACGAGCGCTAGAGAAAGGCCCGTGACCTGACAGGGCCCGTGTTAACGCATGCGATCGTCTCCCAGGCAGGGACCGATCGCGTTCTCTTTAGTACTAGTTTCCCTCTCCGTCCGACGCTCTTTCCCGCCCCGCCCACCATGCACCATCTTGTTGTACTTGGACGAACAGTTCAGACAACACTCCACATTGGGCAGGTCCCGAGCCACCCGCTCCACCCGCTGGAAAGGGGAAATCACATGTGCAAGAAAAAGGAAAGGGTCAACTGCCGACACGCCCGAAGCACCAACTGGAACGGGAAATGGAGGCGAGGTCACGGGGTGGTGGTGAGGACGTGCAGTGGGGACCGTGGGGAAAGGGATGGAGGTGGCATCCAAAGCGAGGCGAGGCAAGCGTGGAGAGGGAGGGGAGGGCCAAGGGGTGCAGTATGCGGGAAAGGGGGGAAAGATGAACCGCAGACGAGTGATGCTGATACCAGAGATAGGAGGACACTCCGCAATGGAAAGATACTGTGGGAACGGGGCCAACGTGGGCTCAGCACGGGAGAACGGTCCCCACCACCAAGGCCCCCACGCGGCATGTGAGCGCCCGCGGGATAGCGCCGCCCCAGCCCAGACTTCAGATGGTCGGGCCCAAGCGCAGGCCCACACCCGCTCGTGCGCGAACCAGCAACCCTACCTCGCGCACAGTCTGCGGGTCGCGGTCGGATAGCCGATCGGCTTTGCAGCATGCCAGGATTATTGGAATATCGGGATTGACTGCCTGTACTCGAGGATACCAGGAGGTCCGCACGCTTTCAAGTGTAGCTGGTTTCCTAGGATCGAAACAGACGACCACTGCATCGCTCTCTCGAATGACAGCTTCAAGCGCCCTGGTGTCCTCTGGCTTTGCGGACGTGTCCGTCAGAAGGATTGGGATGCGCTCCGGTGTGAAATCCAAAGGCAGCTTTGTGGGCGGAAGTGTAGGCACGGGGCGTGCGTCAAACGTGTCATTAGCCGCTGCAGGTAGGAGAGAAGCGTAGAAATTAAGCGCTGCTTGGGTACGCTCTCTTGGACACGTTTCCTGGAGGGAAATCTCCCCCGAGTCGCCCACCTGTACTAATTAGCGAGGTCTTTCCTGTGTCTGAATCACCTAAAACAGCAATCCTTATTGTTTTGGGGCTCATTGACATGGTTGCAACGAGCTTTCCAGACACAAGAGGTGGACGGGAGGGGTATTCTCCGACACAAACAGCTAGCAACTTGAAATGGGAATCTGATCAATTGCATATCCTTGAACCCAAGTTACCTTTTGCATCATGTGCAAAATTTACGGGGTGAATGCTAAACCACACGTACGGCACGGTTGTCCTCTCTTCGGCAAGATGGGCAACCTCATCTCCGAAAGCGTCGCCCCCACGAACGCATAGAGTCGACGAGACACGTTTGGCATCCTATTTTAGTATACGGTCAAGCTCACTGTTGCCAGCACGTATACATTGCACCCTTTTTTCCCCTGAAATACAATAGAGTTAAGTCGATTATTTGTTGCCCTTCAGCTTCACCGCTGCTTACGAGCGCCACTAGCGCTTGCGCGCTAGCAGCTATACGGTTGTCGCAGCTACCTCCAGTTAACGGATATTGTAACGTGGTTATCATTGTTTCCGAAATGGACAGTGATGAAGAGCACTTCTTTGACGCCGAGGATGATTTTGATGAAGCGAGTTGCGAAGAGTTGGGAGACCCTTCCATACCTCATAGCGGAGGAATGTTACCTGGCGCTGGAGCCTCGACGGCAGCTACAGGCTTGGGGCTGGATATGGAGCCGAAGCAGCCTTATCCGTTGCATAGGTAAGAACGGCCGCGTGCGAGGACGTCAACATATTCGTGTTGATTGTCCCGTTTGTCGCCACAACGTGTTCTCACCCTTTATTGGGTGGAAAGGGCCTAGGGATAAGGCCTAGGGTGCCGGCAAAGCAGCATAGAGCTCGGTGCTGGTTCGTATGCATCTTTTCATCAACCAGGGGCGAAAGTTCCGAACCCCAGACTAACCCCCGTCTTTGGATTTTTGCATCTCCTTCAATCATGGCTGACATGAGCACGAGCTTGGGAAGAGGTGGCTTAGCAACAGGTCCAGGCGACTTTGCTTATTGCTAGCCACCTGGCTGTGGCTGTGGCGGTAGCGGTGGCGGCGCCCGAAACCTGCAACTGCCATGTGTTCTGGCAAACTTCCGTCTTCCAACTGCCATAAGTTGCCAAATGGGATTCAGTGTCGTACCGATCGCCATAGACAGACGGAGTACCGGCTGCCGTACGCAATCCTACAGTTTTCCCCCTTCACTCCAAACACACCGTTCCGACACTACCTGGGGGAATTTACCCTCTGAAACTTGTTACTTACTGTGCGACTGCGCCGTGCAGCTGTGAATTGATTTGAATTAATTACAATGTGTTTAAGAAGCTTAAATGGCGACATGCCTCGTTTTTTCGAATACATCAACAAGACGCGAAGCATTCAAAACCTTTTTAGGGCCATACGGGGTCCATTCGCTACTGCGAATTCCATCTGGGTCACAGCATAATTTCACTCGCACATCAGAATCAGAATTTTTTTTCCAAAATTCCAAAATCAAGGTTTTAAAAATATAATCCTTCCAATTACGATCCGCATATCTGAGGCCTGGTGCCCCTCTCCTTGCTAATCACATCCCTTCCATCCCTCTCGCATAAATCCCTTCGTTTCCATTTTCACAATCGCTTTCTCAACCCTATTTCCTTTTTATTTCTTACAAGTTCTTACAGTTCAATTCCTTACCTTTCCGCTTTTCCTGGGGCAAACCAGAGCCGGTTGGTGCGGACAAGTGGGGTTGGTAAAGCGGTTGGCGGCGGGCATGACTAAGGAACAACTGAAGGCGTACGACAGCCAGGGCAACACGGTTGGTGACCGGGCGGGGACATGTAGTTGACGGTTGGCAACTCGGGGGGCGGGGGGTAAACATGAACGGAAACGGTTAAACTGTTACGCACTCCAAGCAGCGAGCTGGATGTCGACGGCTCTATGAAGGTTCGTGGCCACTTAGACTCAAAAAGCAGTTGTGGGTAATATGCTTCGGGGGTTGAACTGATTCCTGCTGGCTGTACGGCAAGCAGGAGGCGGCTTGGCGGGATGTGGGAGTTGCGAACGGGGAACTAGGGTGAGGGTTTAGTGGAGTACGACATGGGGTCCAGCTCATATCGGGTAAGATCACTTAGGATTTGCCAACATGTCTAACTCACCCAACTAATTCATCTTAACTACCGCTAACCAACAAATCCAACAACTCACGGACCGTCGACCGTTGACTGATATATCTATAACCGATAATGTAAGGGTTTTATTATATTCTGTTACCTGCGGTTGCTTTCGGTTACAGGCGCTCCACGTCGCCGTGATGCGGCGGCATGCGGGTGTGGTTTCGGAGCTTCTGGCCGCGGGCTGCTCCGCCGTGACTCGTAACGCCCGCGGCTGGGTGCCCATGATGGAGGCGATTGAGCTGGGTGACCGGGAGCTGGCGTTACAGCTTGCAACAGCCGAGGTGGAGCAGGTGGGGGCGGGGGGTGAGGGGGGAAAGGGCCCGGGCTGTGTGGGGGGGGCTATGCCTTCAGCTGGAATTTGTTAGCATCGCAGATAAAAATATTATAAATTCTGTAAAATGTCTTTTGAATGTTTCGTTTTGCGAGCATGAAATAGTAAATGCATGCCGGGTTTTTTTAATCACTGTTGATTTTTGGTGGTAGCCATTTGTATGACGAAAAAGAAAATGCTACAGCTACAGCTGGGAGCACGGGTGCAAGTCCTGTTAAATACCGAACCTCTTACCTTTTCTCCCTTCGCTATGCCGATGGACGCTGGGAATTTGCTTTTCCTTCTTTTCATCGCCATACGTCATTTTGAGTGAGGGCAGTGAGCACGCTCCCTCAACAGATGCCTTGGTATGCATATCGCGGCTCAGTTCGAATATATAATATGATGTAATGTAAAGTATTATGATATATTGTACTTTATTATTTTATATTTTATATTTTATATTTATATGAAATATTCATCTTAAACATAGTTCACCGGCTAATTCTAACTTGTCGCTGTACTACGGACCTCGCTTCGGTTACCAGTTATTCGTGCAACTCTTCATGTTCGCTATTTTCCTTCATCGCAGCTCCGAGTAACATTAAAAAACCACACAAGTATAATTATTAAACACAAAAAAATGAAGATCCTCAGCGCGCATTTCCGCCCGCAGACACGCGCAGATTTCCGCCTCGCCTGATTTCCCTGCACCCGCATTCCACCCTCACGCTCCTCCTCACGTTCGGCTGTTCTTTCCGCCCGTTGGTTCGCAGATGCGCGCCCGCGTCAAGTCCAAGAAGGCCGCAGTCCTGGCGCTCCTGCGGTCCGAGCTGCCCGACTTCTCCCTCCAGCTGAAATGGGAGCTGGGCAGCTCTATGCCCGGAGTGGGGGCGCTGGTGCGGAGGTACGCCCCGAGTGATACCTACACGCTGTGGAAGAAGGTGGGTTGTGTGTATATATGTATGTATATATGTATGTATGTATATATGTATGTATGTGTATATGTATGTATGTATGTATGTATGTATGTGTGTGTATGTGTGTGTATGTGTGTATATGTGTGTGTATGTATGTATGTATGTATGTATGTATGTATGTATGTATGTGTGTGTATGTGTGTATCGTAGACGCCATGTGGCCCCCAGGGCTCCTCGTCCTTCCTGCATCTCATGATGACACTAACTCTCCCCACCCCCACCCCCGCACACACCACACACCACATAACCCCCTCACCTCCCTCGCCTCCGTCGCCGCCTTCGCACCCGTTATCTGCCTCATAACCCGCAACCCCCCCCCCGCCCTCACCCCCTCCAGGGGGGCCTTATCCGGGTGGATGGCAGCTTAATGGGACTCGATTACCCCGGTGATATGAGCGATAACAACGACGGTGACGACAACCGCAATCGCGGTAATGGCGGCAGCAGCCGTAGTAGTAGCGGTGGTGGCGGCGGCGGCGGCGGCGGCGGCGGCGGTGGGCTGGCTCCTAGCTGGAAGCGGGGGCACTTCTCCCTGCTGTACGACGCTACGGGAGATAAGGCCCGGGCGCTGCTAGTCAACCATGTCAAGAAAACGTACCTGGATATGAAGGGTAAGGGGGAGCGGGCGGTGGCGGTGTGGTGGGTTGGGGGGGGGAGGGCGGAAGTGCGGGTGGGTTGGGGGTGGTGGTGGTGGTGGGTGGGTGGATTAGGCTGGGGAGGGCGCCGGAATATGCTTGTTTTGCTGTGAGCGGACGGACCTGTGCTACGCGGAGCTCTGGGGTTTGCAACCCAGGAATATTACCCCACCATCACCACCACCAGCAGCAGCTACATGCGCACGAACACACACAAATTCGAAACACGTGTGTATCTTTTTATCCCTTGCTTGCCCCCCCCCCACCACTCAGTCGCGCGTTCTAGTTTTTGGGGGGGTTGGGAGGAGCACTTGCATACCGGCAGCCTTTCAGTATCAGCAATGCAGCTTTCTCTCCTGGCCAGCAACTTTACGCCACTTTTACGTCAGCACATTTTTTTCTCGCCGCCTTCACTACTTTTTCTACACCTACTAGTTTACGGTTTGGCTATACTATTCAGCCTTTTTTTCTGGCGGCTTAGGTAGGTAGGACTTCCAACTTCTACGTCAATTCTTCATCCCGAGGTTACAGTCGTCATCCCGAGGTTACAGTCGTCACAGTCGCCACGGACGCCTTTCGGTCAGTTCTTTCGGTTGCTACTATCTTGCCCTGGCAGCAGCTTCAATCGCGTGTGGTTCGTCTTTCCCCCCCCCACCTTCCAAATCGCCCCGGGGCCCCCTCCTGTTCCCCCCTACTCGTCCGCGTCCCCCCGACTAGGCGCTCGCAAGCAGATGGGTGGTGGTGGTGGTGGCAGTGGCAATGACGAGGGAAGTTGGAGTGGTGGTGGTGGTGGAGGAGGTGGTGGTGGTGGTGATGGGGACCCGGACTCCCCGACCGCGCTGGAGACGGAAGTGGACGTATTGCTGTCTTCGGAGGTCCTACAGAGGAAGAAGGTGAGGGTATGTATGTATGTATGTATGTATGTATGTATGTATGTATGTATGTATGTATGTATGTATGTATGTATGTATGACTTAGATTACACTGTGGGCCGCGAGAGCCGGGGGCCGAAGCCGAAACACAGCGCAAGGGTCGGGAGCACACAGCACAAGTCGGTTAGTATGTATGTATGTATGTTTTCGGGTACCCTAATCCCGACCTGTGCGATTTGTGCGTGTGTCTGTGCCTTTTGGCCGAGCCCGACAGAGCCCCAAACCTTTTCCTTTCCATTCTTGGTCCTCTTTTTTCTTCACGTAAAACCAACCAGCCAACCAACCACCAACCTCCAACTGCCATGCAGTTGCGTTCCGTGGATTTCCGGTTCAAGCCCGTGTCCGGCTGGCTGACCAAGGAGGTCTGGGAGAAGGTGGAGGGGTGGAACTGCAGACTGTACGAGGCGGCGGGTAGGTGGGGTGTGTTTCTTGTACGGCGAAAGGCGCACGTGGAGGGGTTCTTGTGTTTTTAGGGACCTGGGTGTGCACGTGCATATGTACGTGCATGTGCTTTTAGTTCCTCAACCCCTAAAGGCGATGGTGTTTTTAGTTCATCATCCCCTAAAGGGGATGAACCAATTTATTGCCAGGGTTGTCAGGGTCGACGTCACAGGGCAGGGTTCCCCTTGCGGTGGAGGCGGGCGGGGAAGTGTGTTTTACGCGTGTGTGTTTTTAACGGCTAACGGAAAACGGCGGCTTACTGAGCAGTTCGCTGTCGTCGAGGGTGAACTGGTCACAACACGCGAAATCGCGTCGCGTCGCAGGTCGCTTGGTGGCGGTGTCGTACTACAAGATGCCGTACGGCCTCACGCCCGACATGTCGTACGATGACTATTTGGCAGCTACTTTTGAGCCTGACCCCGTTGTCGAGTCCCCGGTGAATCCCTTAAGTACCAAGGTACGACATACCGCTGGATTTCCGTACATCGATATTCCCTCCTGAGCATGCTTAGACGTGCCGTACAATTTTTACACAGACCTCAAAAGTGCGCTCTCTCCTATAGCCTCCCGCCTCCCGCGCGCCTGCATCAAAGGCCCACGCTTCATCCGGCTCCCGGCATTTTTGGGGGTGTGGGGGTTCCAGGTTTTCTTGTACTGTGTGCTTTAAAAGTACTAAATACTTTTCCGACAAAGCAGAAGCCACTTACAAAAGCCGTACATTGCCACATAAGATTGAGCGTACGACAGCTTCCCCGTTATGTTTCTCCTTTTCGTCACAAAAAAATGCCAAACCGCTTTGCGTTCGCTATTTCTTGAGGACATTTTAATTAGTTTCCGAAAGCCTAAACCCCGTAATGACTCTTTCGCCTAACACACGCTCGCTAACACACACACACACATACACACACACACACACACGCAAGCAGCGGGGAGGCAGCAACCCGGCTAAGGCGGCCGCCAAGCTGGCGGTGGCGGCGAAGCACCAGCGAATTGCAGCAGCTGCGGCGGCAGCCAAGGACGAGAAAGCGGCGCGGGTCGCGAAAGCCGCGGCGGCGCGCGCGGCGGCGAGTGGGCTGCGTGCTCTGGCGCCGGCGCCGCCGTCGGCAACCGCCGCCACTCGAGGAAAACGTGACGCTGAGGAGGGAGGAGGGGAGGACGTCGACGTCGACGCCGAGTTAGCGGAGCACGACGACGACGGCGACGACGACGGCGACGACGGCGGCGTCATCGGCGGCATCTTTTCCGGCAAGGAGAGCGGCAGCGGCGGGGCTCAAGGGAAAGGCCGTACAAAAGTACGGAACGCAGTACCTTCCGCCGGACTGGTGCCGGCGGATGATGAAAAGGGCCAAGGGCGGCGCGCCGAGGCTGACGCTGTACTGCAGAAACACGTGGTGGTGGCTAAAGCGGAGGCGGCGGCGCCGCCGCCGCCGCGAGCACTCTCCCTGGAGGGCGAAGCGCCGGCAGAAGGAGAGAACGAAGAGGAGGCCGACGGCGGGGGGGACGATGAGGAGGACAAGGGGTTGGATGGAGGTGTTGAACAAGATCTAGCTGAGTTAGATCTTACAGCTTTGGCGGCTCGTGTGGCGGCGGAGGCGGAGGCAGACGCGCGACGCAGGAGGTCTAAAGACGGCTCGGAGGCGGACGACGACGCCGCTGACGGCGGAGGCGTTTCCGCCGCCGCCGCCGCCGCTGATGGCGAGGACTCGTCGTTTGCGGCGGGTACGGTAGTCAGCGAACGGGATGCTTCGTTGGAAGCGGGATCGAGGACAGATGCGGCGGCGGCGGCGGCAGGTCCTTCATCAACGGCGGCGGCGGCGGCAGTGGCGGGCAGCTCGAAGAAGGGAGGAGGGTGGCGGAGCTGGATCTTTGAACGGAAGACAGCGGGGCCTTCCGCCGCCGCCGCCGCCGCCGCCGTCGGTGGTCGTGCGAAGAGTGCCGCCCCTGCCGCCGCAACTGCTGGCGGCGGCAACAGCACCCGCGCATCTGCTACGGCTAAGAAGTCAAGGAAGTTCACCGGTCGTTGCTGGATGGCAGAATCCTTTCCTCTGAGCCTCAAGCAGGTGTGCGCGTATGTATGTATGTATGTATGTATGTATGTATGTATGTATGTATGTATGTATGTATGTATGTATGTATGTATGTATGTATGTATGTATGTATGTATGTATGTATGTATGTATGTATGTATGTGTGTATGTGTATATGTGTACGTGTACGAGCAGGCAGGGTGAATGAATGGAGGGATGTTCAATTCTAGGCCTACGTACCATCGCCGTTGTTCGTACTCATGCCGTACTATTTATGCCCTTCCATTGCGTTAACATTACACTTTCGCGTTAACATAGCAACCGCATTACACACGACGTTATTGTGGCGATGGGACAATGACCCCTCCGGGCGGTGTGGTGCTGTCCTGAGAGATCCCGATCTCCCCTCCCCCCCACACACCCGGGTGTTGTACACTCGTGTCGGAACTCCTCCGAGACCTTCAGCTACTGCCGCTCCTGGAGGTCGTGGGTACGGCAAACAAAGCGTTTGCCAAAGTGGCGCGTTTTATGGAAAAGTACGGCGATCTGGATATGTTCCCTGTCAAGGTACGGCGTTGGGTAATGAAAGGATGGAGGGGCGGGGGGAGTTGGCGGGAATATGTATACACAGGAAATGGGCGGGTGGGGAGAACAAAACACACACACACCATATATATATATATATATATATATATATACACATACACACACACGCGCGCGCATGTGCACCGCGCATGCACGTGTTGGGGCCCGGGGAAGACACTTTTCCCCCGAGTACGGCGACCTCTTGCCAGTCTAAGGGAAATCAGGGTGGTTGGTTATATACCAGAGCAGGCTGTTGTTCGCCGTTATTGCGGACGCTGTCCGCGGCGAGTGTGTGTGCTGGGTGTCGTGCAGTAAATTTCTAAGGGCTGCATACTGTTGACAGTTGTTGACAGTTAACGGTTGTTAACGCGTCGCGCCATACACATACAAGCACAGCACCCACCCCACCGTCTGCCAAGTGTATCCCCAACTCCCGGCGGGGGTGCAACACACATACACACACACACTCTCCTTCCCTCCCTCCCCCCCGCCCTCCCCCCTCCCCCACTACCACCCGGCGGGCCCGCAGGTTCAGGTGCCTCTCATCCTGACGGTCTACATGCTGCTCAGCTTCAAGAAGTTTCGGTTGATTGGGGAGGGACCGGGCAGGGAGCCCGCGCCCCCCGACGACTTCTTCCGACTCCCCCCCGGATATGTTGAGGTTCGTGTGAGGTAGCCGTTTCTTTTTCTGAGGGCTGTTTTTAGGAAGCGGGGTCGGGGTCGGCCTCACGAGGCGGCTGGTGGTTTAGAGGGATAGGAACTAGAAAAACTAGGCAAAACAGGGGGAAAAAATAGGGAGTTGAGGCTTTTTTACGGTTGAGGATGGGGTATGGTTGTCGTCATGGGAGTGAGTCGGGACGTGGTTAGATGGGTGCGTTGATGGGTGTGTTTTAATGATCTTAATAGCCTGCTGCCTGGGTGTGTATGTCCTGCCCGGGTGATTACGTTGCTTAGTCAGGCAACCAGCCTTAAACCCCCAGGCACATAGCGGTGTATCTATCCAAGCACCCTTACAAAAATATGTTTGCACCCCACGAAACAAATTCATACACGTATTAAAAACCCGCTTAAACCGGTTTTTATTCCCTCCCTAATGCGATATGGGGCTTGTGGGGCATGCTTGCGGTCCTGTCGTACAGGAGGAGCTATCGGAGAAGGGTTCACCTTCCGGTCGCCAACCTCCCACCACTTTTCGAAGACGGCACGGTGGCGAAGGCACCCGGGGGAGCCCGGCGGCGGCGGCGGCGGCTGCGACGACGACGACGACGACGACGACGACAGCAACAGCGGCGGCGGCGGATCCCGAAAGTGGTCGTCAGGGTAACCGGATGGAGAGGAGCAACAACGGCGACAAAGGCAGTGGCAGCAGCGGCGTTTGAGAGCGTGAGTGAATACACATTAGCTACGTTGACAAAGCATTGGAAAGGCGGCTGACGGCTGGGGCCCCGCCCAAAAATGTGACACCACATGAGCCAAGAGCGATAATGACAAAATATTTATGAGGGTTGAGGAGTTGCTGTTGCTGTTCGCACCACCATCATCCTTACCATCATAATAGTAATAATAATGAGCTTGTGAGACGGGGGACGTGCAGGCTGGGTACATGCTGCCGAGTAGGCTTGATAGGACCTGATAGGACGTGAATGGTTCCGGAGCTCTCATCCACGTGGATGGTATGCGCATGTTCGTATAGGCAGGTGCGGGTGCAGGGAATGAATAATGGAGTGAAGGTAAAATTGCTTTTGTTCGTGATATGTCCGTTTGTTTATGTTTATGGGTACTACGGTCTTTGTTGGTGCAAATGATGGATGTGATCAATGTTCCACATCATGTGTTCACATCACCCACATCACCCGGGCCATCTCGCACCGATAGCCCGGGTGTCAAGGAGCCCTGTGCTCCTGGTGGGTGAAGATAGGACCCTAGAGCAGCAGGCCAATAAATAGACGTCTCATGGTAGCATCGTCAGATTGTTTTTGGCTGACGGTGTTGCTGCGGCACGTGGAAATGACTTTGAAGGCGTGATAGGTAAAGCTTGAAGAGTTGTGGAGTTGTGGGAACGGCACGTCTTCTGGGCAGCTGGCGGACAGGGTTACCGATTTGGCAACGACGGATATTGTTGCTTCATAGAACCACAGAGCTGCTGTCCGGCAACCGTTGCATTTCCGGCAATAGCGTCTCTGTTGCTTTTGTACCACACAGCCCAGATGGACCCAGAGGCACGTGAGAAAGTATCGCACAGGTTTCTCCCTGGACAGCAGAGTACTGCTGGTTTCGGTGCCAGTACCCTAGTCGGTCTAGCTTCAGTACAAGCAAAAGGAGAATATACCTATGGTGCAAATCCTGGCTGTGCGCTGTCACGAACGAAGCCTTGTTAACAAAGTTACAGCAGCAGCAAACTTCGTACAGTAAAACCGAGGCATGGGCCTTGGCGGCCGCAGCAAAGCTGGGCCAGCGCCAGCGCAGCGCAGAGAGGAAAGGAAATGACCAACACACGCATCCCCGTACGCCCTCTCTCTCTCTCATAAATCGCGCACCACCCGGTCATAAGATTTACTATAGATGCAACGTATCAACAGATCCCCGACATCCAGGGGCGGAATGTCTGCCTCTGGGAGATCACACCCTTATCAACATGGCGGGACAGAAGGCTACATTTGCAATTGCAGTCTTTCACCAGTCTGTAACTGAACATGATCGCGTGCAGACATGAAAACACCATATACCGAGATACCGATAAATATGCAAGTCAAAGTCAAAAACTTGCCGGTACAACTCTCGGTCCCGCCGAAACAACAAAAACCCTGTTAGGTTCATAATAAAACCAACCTGCTGACAACCAGCACCATCCAGCATGCGTGCGTGACGAGGAAAATATTAAGACCAGCGAACGTTCCCCGCTATCAAAAGAAACCCCGACTGGGGGCCAGCACCGCTGCGGTTGCTTTGTGCTTGACTGCCTGCGTGGCTAATCGCTAAAATGCCTTGCCTTGCCTATCCCCGCGAGTAGCTAGTAGCTCAATGCCTGAACAGCGGGCCCCCCGCTACAAACTCGCGCTCCTTCCTGAAAAGTGCGAATGACCCGGAAACATGCCTAACATCTATACAAGTTCCCTTTACCCTCTCCCCACTCTCGTCATCTCATTCCTGACCCTCCTCTTTTTGAAGCCACGTAATGCAGTATCGGGGGGCGAATAACCGAGCGCCACCGTGCGTTCTCCCCTTTGGTCTCTCAACCTGCGGGCTCCTGCTTCCCCCCCCCCCAAAGACCGTCTCTCCCCGCGGCCCACTGCCGGTTCAGAAACCCTGAAGCACGAACTCGCCTCTCCAACCGTCCACAGCTTTTCACCCCAACCCTCCTTCTAGTCTTTCAAGAAGGCCATGTTAGACCCCCAGCATCGCCACACACGGCTACCACTTAATTTAACAACACGCACCCCCCTGGGCCCCCCCACCTCTCCCCAGGGCAGTAGGTCGTGGTGGCATGACGGTCAACAAGACAACCTATTCAATTTAATATACTCAACAGTCAGCAACCGTCGCGACAACGAAAGATTTCCTAATCTTACACTGTCCGACTGGAGGTGGAAAGTTCCAATCGAGCCACCGTGGTTGCGGTAACTCACCATACGTTTGGGGGGAGAGGCGGCGGGGGGCGCCAAGGTAGGGGTGTGTGAGGGGGGGGATAAGAAACGCCCCTGGGAAAGGGAGGAGGCATCAAGGAAATCTCTATGTGGCGACGTTCAGGCCCCGGAAAGACGCTGTCTGCTGCGCAAAGGACATCAGTCGGGACGGGCGACCAACGTCCATAGACGCAGTAAGATGTCTCTGGGTCCTCTCCCAGCTTCCGACACCATTAAGGAGCTTGGTGGATGCCTCGTACCTGCACGACCCATACATTCATACATACAAAACATTCATACATATGCATGCATACATACATACATACATACATACATTCATGCATGCATACATTCAAATCCGCCTGCCGGCTCCTCGGGTGTTTGAGGAGTGATGAAATGGGAGGTGGCCCCCCATCATATGGACGGTGTAGGACGTGATAATATCAACTTGCGAGCTGACCAGGAACTAAGTTGATGCGCCGTTGATCCGCTAGATTTGGTTGGATGCTGGTGGTGAGTTGCCGAACCCAACGAATACATTCTGAAGTCGGATGGGGTGACGGATTAGGGTGCCCCTCTAGCAGGGGAGAGCAGGGACTGCCCCGGGAAAGGGGGCCGCTGGCGAAGTTAACCACCCTGTAACAACATACATACATACATACATACATACATACATACATACATACATACATACACGTATACACGCACGCTTATGTCACCGTGCAGAGCGGCAGGAGAAGCAAAGAAACATCTGTCATGTCAGAATGGCTGCAAAGGGTTATGTGCGTTCATATGTCGTCAGAGCACATTCGGTAACCCCCCTTTCCGAGGTCTTTTCCTCCCCTGCCGCGTTCCGTACCTGCCCTAAGCTCTCCTAACCGCCCCTGCCGGTTCAAATACACAATTACCTGAACCTCAGAGTTTGCCACGACCCCCAAAATCAATGCCCGTCCCCGCTCCGTGTGGAAGCAGTCGCGTTCGAGGTTGAATTGCATTTGGGTTTTGTAGACTTGCTCGCTCTTCCTTTCCCCCTTCACGGTTTCAGTTCCTTTCCTCCCCCCCCCGCTAATCTGCGCACTCACTCTTTGTAGCCCATGACTCGCTGCTTGGAGAAGATATCCAGCTGGGCGCCCAAGGGCCCCACGGCGGTCAGTGGACGAGGCTTCTCCGGCCCGGTAGGGGGGCCCCCGATGCCGCTTGCCCCCCATGTGTTGCTGCCGACACTGCCGTACAGGTTTGCCTCCTCCGGACTGACAGCCCACATACTGGTACTTCCCGGCTCCATCGTGGGCAGATACCTGTACGCCACAAAAACACCAAAACATCTCATGAAAAGATGACGCTTGAAGAGGAGATTTGACGTTCCAAAAGGAAAAGGGAATCAGGGATGAAAGGAAGTAAGAGAGCAGCAGGCAGTCGCTCCGCGTCGTGTATCAACGTTGGGCGGGGCAGGCCCTGCCTTGCAGCGGCAACACACCTGTACTTAGACCCGATGAGTTTTATGCGGGAGGCTCCCGGCGTCTCCCGTACTGCCAGTTGTGGTCCAGGCGCGACATCCCCTTGCTTGAGGTGAGGGGGGTGCCATTCAAATTGCGAGTCCGGCACATCCGGGGCATCCACAATATGGTGGTCTGCGGCACGAAGGGAGTAAAGGCACATTTTCATGGTCGTATTGGATAATCCGGGCCTGTCTCGGCCTTAGATGGTCAACCAGTAAGCAGTATACGACCCTTGTGCAGTCAGAAAATAGAGAAGAAGGTTAAGCACAGCATTTTGTGAGATTTTTCGCTTTTATGTAACAAATATATCTTGGTGGCGTTTATGCTCGTGGGGCGTAGCTACACTGCCCAGGTGAAGCTTTCAAACCTTGAAGCAAAACGTCCAACTCACCTCGCCCTGTCCAGTAAACGACTTTCTTGGTCCTATACAAGCTGCCTCCAGTGGATCGAAGGCCGGCCGACGCCGCCCCGCTGGTGCTTGGGCCATCGCCACCAGCACCAGGAATCTTGGCTAGCGATGGACGTTCATCATAAACATGTGTATGCACGCTGCCAATTAGTCGGGCTCCCGGTCCAGCAGGTACACGGGCTGGCATAGGCCTGCAAATGCCGCGCTCATACAATGAGTTTTTGCACCAATGCAATAAAGGACGCATAGTTTGGTAGGTGCCAAGTTGTCAAAAAGTGCCCTTTCATTCAGAGCTAGAAGTTGATAGCTAGCTGCAAGCACGATTCCAAAGCCAAGCCCACCTTGCCGACTGGGAACGCTGCTGATAGTACAGTGTGAGGGTGCTATTCCTCAAGTCGTTGCTGCACGTTCAGGAAAGGGCGTCCCAGTAAGGCGGCCGCGCATGTCTACAACAAACTCCGTATCCACCTGATCCAAACACTCACCGGTCACCCTCCATTCTCTAAGCTCTAAGTTTAAAAGTTTATGAAGTGCGAGAAAAGAAACTTCGGCAATCCTTGATGAAGCTCCAGATGTGGCAGAGCTTGATCTTTGTATGTTGAACAACTGCGCCTGTTCGAAGCTCAGCTTTTGCAAATATTTGCAACGCGGTGTCAGCGACGGGGTATAAGGGCTCATCCTTACGTAGCATCGAAGGTACGGCGTACGACAAAGGAAGCAACATCCTAAGGCTTCGAGTTTATGAAGCAACTCCAAGCAATACAACTCCATTCAAAATGCCCCCATTTTCGACGTCGAATGCGAATTGGCCAACAGTACGGAACACGTCTACCGGAAACCGGATATGCAAGTATGCGGCGAAGTTGCAATTAGTATGTATGCGGTGAAGCTTTCCAGCAAGTTGAAGGCGCAAGGCTGTCCTTACATAATCATTAGGTCCATAACGATCTAGGTCTTGTTCGGTATCCTGCGGCACCTTTGCACAACGGTACCCTTACCTCGGTTGCGCATGCTCGAATCCGCAAAATGCTGTCACCCAAATTCCTCAGCTCGGATGGCCGTGCATGCTCACGAACCGTTGTTGATCCAACGCCCTGTAGCAGGGGTGGTTTGCAGATACCGGGCACACAAGCTGCACATTCCACCTGGGCCCGCACCTCCTCAAGAGTCGCTGTTAGGGCCAGGTCGCCCTTTCATTCAGAACGTTGCAAAATGATCACGGCTGACACACCTAAAATCCTTATGCGGTGCCAACCGATGTCATGGCGCAGGCTAATCCTTATTAAACCGGGGGCAGAACACTGGTGGAGTGTGCCGCATACGGATGCTTCAGGCAAAGTCCAGGACAGGGATTGGGTACTCAATAAGCCGGATTTCGCGCTAACGAGTATGAAAATTATGAATCCATGGCAGGGAAAATAATTGTTTGTTCTCACGAGACTTGAAACGTATATAGGTACACACGCATTCACTCAGGACAGGTTTGACCCTCTAAGAGAACGGTTTGGTCCAAATTTTCGTTGGGACCCCGGTTCCTGTCCCCCTTTGTGGGTCTATCGACCGTGGTGGTGTGGTGACGGTCTGGATTTGGGCCCGGTGCCACACACCCATGCATAGCCAGCCTTGCACGTGCACGACTGAACCGAGGGCCCGAGGGGTGTAATCATGATTTTTACCCTATTTCACGCAAGGTCTGGTGCTTACAGCTTCGCGGGAGGCGGACATTGTAGGGGATAGTGTGGTCGGAAATATCGCAAAACATAGAGCTGCTTTGTTTTCAGATCCTGCGTAATCTGTGTGTCGTCGGGGTTGCGACTAGATCGGAGTACTTGCAAAGATTCAGCGGTTTGCCCGTTGAAGATGGTCATCCACGGACCAAGCCATGCTGATCAGCACCGGCGGCCGTTGCCTCTTATGTACAATCTTCAAATGATTCTCAGGGCTCCTTGGAGACTCAAGTACCGGCAGCGTTTTCGCCTGGCCAACTTGCATGTAAGTTGGCCAGCTTCTGGGCAAACTGAGTTCTAAGTTATTTTGGGAACAAGCTGGGTGTAAGAAACGAATTGAATATCGAAGAATACAGTTTCAATCGCGCCAAGGTGGGGCCCCAACGGCCTTCAACGTTCAAGCATAGATATGCAAGAACTGGTCACCGATGTCTTCAGCATATTTATCTGGTTTCTTCATCATCGATACGTGATGTATCATGCGTTCCTTGGAAAACAGGAACATTTCGCTGCTTACAGAGAGCAGACCCGTTTCGTACAAGGGCATTTGGTTGTCGCCAGCGCAATGAACAGTGAATTGATCGCTCAATCGTAAATCAATTTTATACTGTATCATGACGGATGTCTAGTGACACAGGCACTGGAAAGTGCAGCGGTGAGGACAGATAACGGTTATCTATACTGCTCCCGCCCCAAACTATAGGTGCTCCACGTTCCCTGAACCCGATTTAGATGTTGGCTTCATGAGAGCAGCACGAGCACATGAGCGGGCGGCCTCCTTCCGCTCTGCTCGCTTTGGCCGCATCACAGCCGCCCGGTGACACGGTAGCGGAGCAAGTGCCACAGCCTTCAAGTAGCAATGGGACTCAGGACACTGCTGGGCAACCTGAGCCGACACCGACCGCAGTGCCAATACCAAAGAAGTCCAGCATATTAAAGACCGCTGACTCGCTAAAGAGCAGCGATGGCTACAAACGCAACATATCGTGGCAGGACCAATATGGCCAATCCCTGACACAAGTAGTGGAGTTTGAACCCAGGTGCGTAGATATGCGGTTAGCAAGTCTAGACGACCATGTTCGACTGCCGAGCCTGAAGCAAGCTTTTTATCCTACGCAGCGAGCATGCGGACAGCGAGTATGACGATTTTGAGGAGCGCGGGTGCTGCATTTTAATGTAGCTATGTTAGCCGGACTAGCCCGGGATTCGGCTGTTGGTCTCCAAGCAGGCGAAAGCCAGGGTCTGGAATCAGATAGCTGAGAGGACAATTGTTCGTGCGGAGGGGTTACCTCTTGGCACATTTGCATCTGACGGGGGCCGTCTGGCGCCACGGCAGCAGAGGTGTGGAGCGGGAGCGGGGGGACGGTTGGCGGGTTGCATGGTGGGCATTGCATACAACGAACTGGGAGCATTCAAAGGGGGGCCACCCCTCAAGAAACACTAATAAGGTGAATTTTGGTTGCAACAAGGCTGTGCGACCTTCCGGCAATGGTCAATCAGCGTGGTCACAGCGTGATCACATGGTGAGCTCAGTAGCTTCCGAGCCGTGCATCACGTGACTGGGGATTTGTGGCCAAGCCAGGGACTATGCCGGGGTGTGACGTGCTGTTGTGTAAGCATCAGCGAACGCATGTCGCGAGCACAGCAGTTAAGCGCGTCATGGCTGTGCACATAAAGGGCTGTGGCTTTCTCGGACCGTTTGGCTTTCCTGAGGCACTTCTCGCATGGACGGGATTATGACTTTTCTGCCAGCATCTGGCATTATTGAAGTGCTCGCTGTATTTTGGGGCCTATACTGCTTCGCAAAGCAGCATGCGCCTCATCGGGACGTGCCACCGCTTCACCACCGTTCGCCACGCGTCGTAATGGGGCTGAGCTCTGCATATATGAGCAGGAAAAGTGGGCGCATGGCAGCGGAGGCGTGGCGGGTTCAGCGCTGCGCAATCATATAAACGGTGCGCCTGTAAGCTGTTACAGCGGATCCCAAAGGATCATCGGTGTATAAACCTCGCCCAACATTGTCGGGGCCGCGCTGTCTTGTTGGGTCACTAGCAATTCACAGCGTTGCGCTCAATTAATGACGGCACGGCCATGCATCCATGGCTATAGCACCCTATTGGACTATTTAACTGCCAGCAGCTTTAACTGTCAAACATTCCTGGCCAGTCATACGAGCGCAAAGCTCCCTGCAAGCCAATTACAGCACCCGGCGGCAAGCGATTACAGCGTCGTCGCACTTAATGGTCTGAATGAACACGACAGACTGCCATCCGCTATCCTTGCTCTACCGTAGCTCGTCCTGCTCGTATGCAGGGGAAGCTCATGGGACGTCCACGCACACACGACCGAATACATAGTGGCTTGCTCACTATGTATGTTATTATGTTTCTTCCGAGGTTCTGCATGAACTACAGGAACGAGACGCTGGTTTTTCCAGTTCGTATACTACCCACAGCCGACCGTCTGAAGGATCAACAAGAGACAACATGGCCACGCAAAGGTCACACGCCGACTGTGCTTCCATCGTACAACAGTCCACACAAGCAAACCTTGCACGACACATCCATCCTCGTAAACGGCCGGATATGTCCAGTCGGAATGCACATATCCCAGCATCTCTCACTGTAACCGCATTCCTGCGGGCCTGTGAAGCGGTCCCAAACCTAAGGACCCAGTTTTGTCCCAGTCCTACTATACCTCCCAGCCCCCAAAATTCCACAGGAGCCCAGGCATGCCGCCAGCATACAATCACTACGGCTGCCCCAGCCCTAGCGCCGCTTTCTCCGTCTCGTAGATGACCATGCGATACAGCTTGATGACAAACGTCTCCGTGTCATTGTCCAGCACGGGGTTCAGCTCCGCATGCAGCATGTTCGGCGCTGTGTGCTGCCCCAGCAGCTTGACCACGTAGTCCACCAGCGTCGGCTCCTGAACGCCTAGCAGCTGCTCCACCTTAGATGACACCCAGCCCTACATATCCACCAGTGAAGACGACCACAAAGAACACCATAGCGAGGGCCAGGGTAAGGAAAAAGGATCGCTTTGCAGCAAAATCACACACTGCTCAGGCTATGCCTAAAATCGCATTCACCATATCGCCATAGCAAGTAAAGAGGCAGTTTGCATACCTTGAACTTTTCACCCATGGCGGCAGCGTTGTAGTGCCCCCACTTGATTGGGTACGAAAAGACCCCCTCCTTGCTGGTGGGAATGGAGTCCATCATAGCCTTCAATGCCGCCTTCGAGTCAATAGGTGGCCGCGCTGCCTGGGCCAACGGTGCCGCAGCCGCTGCAGGTGCGGGGTGCGCCGGCCCAGTCGGCGGTTGTGAGTCCGTTACCGCCAGCATCTCCTCCTCGCTGTAACGAATAGGTTTCTGTGCACAGGCGTGGGGCGCAAACCGCACGTGTCTATGGGGCAATATGCATAAGCAGCAGAAGTCCTGCTCGCAAATGAACGTACAATACAAGGTTGCCAACCTGAGATCGCTTAATCTCCAGTCCCTTTAAAACCATCCGATAGCTCCTATTGAGTCCGAAGATCATCTCATGCCCATGCAGCCCGTTCAGGTAAGGCAGGTAAGGCCCAGTTCCCCGACTCACCAACTGGCGCTTCTGTGTCGTCTCCTCTTCATCTCCAAACATGGCCGCGAGCGCTGCGTTGGTTCGTGCCCGCCCACCCGGGCCAAAGATCACTCTCCCGCTGGTCGCCGCGGCGCCCGCGCCACTTTGCGTTGACGGTGCCGTTGGCCCCACAGCCTGCCCTGCAATCGCGCCACCCATGCTGCCGGTCGTGTGGGGTGGCGACTCCGAGCGCCTTGGGAAGGCGCCTCCCCCCGGTTCGTGGCCGGCCACGTGCACATGCTCCTGTTGGGGGCCGAGCGGCCGCTGCGCCTCCTCGGCTTTGACAGCCGGGGCCTGCTGAGCCGGCGGCGCCACCGGTGGCGGCGCGCGCGCCGCTGCCAGCATGGCCTGGTAAATGGGGTCATTCGTGTCGACCTCCGGCTCAGCTTTTGGCTCCACTTTGGGTTCCACTATGGGCTCCACAGGCGGCTGCTGGGGCTGCGGCGGCTGGTGTTGTGGAGCTGATTGCGGTGCCGGCTGTGATGACGGCGGAGGGTGTGCGTCATAGACGACGCTGCCTGCGGGCCCGGGTGTTCCCTCGTGGGCGCTGGTCTCACCGGCCGCAGCGGCCGCCCGCTTGGCGCGGCGCTCCGCCTCGCGCGCCTCACGCTGGCGGTCTATTTCATCCTCCTCCTCCTCGGCCAGCCGCCTCTTCCGGCGCTCCACGGATTTCCGGCTGTGTAGGGCGGCATACGGGACATGCAAAGCGCGTGAGGGGGTCGGTGTACAGGCTGAGCAACAAGTCGCTGTCCACGGCTCGCGCTAGAAGTAGATGGGCTGATCCGTTAGGTGGCGCTATTCGTTGCTAGGCATCGCCCAAGGCCGCCTCACCCTTCCGCAGTCACAATTTGTATTTCGCAGTCCCACAGGATCTTCTTTTTCACGGCACATATCATCGACGCATCATTATACAGAAAACCTTCCAAGACTTCCTTTCATTTCCTAAAGCACTTTGAACCCTCGACACACATTCGCGAGGCGCAGCGATGACACCTGCCGAAATCGGAAGTGCCCAAGCGTTGCGCGGCTGCCTCCGCCACCGCGACAAACCCATCTCCCCGGGCTTCACATGATCACTCACGTGCCAAAGTAAGGTCTTCGCTCCCACATCTCCCGTTCATCATCGCTCTCGTACTTCTCCCGATCCTCGCGAACTGCACGGCGCCATTCGGCCTCAGCCTGTGTGCGGCGTTCACGCTCGCGATCCCGTAGCATGGCGCGCTCCCTGCGAGCCCGGCGGTGGCAAATCCGCACCCACGCGCCGCATGCATGCGACAGGGGCCCATCCACCCGCACACGCCGGGAGGGGCAGGGAGGAGAGCAAATGGGTCAACGCGGTGCGATAGCGCAAGCAGAAAAGCGATGAAGAGGGAGGCCAAAGGGTCCCCTTCACGCAAGAAACACCGATTAAGCGCGAGAAGATGATGAGCAGAGCCTCCCGAACCAAAGCGTCCAGCCTTGTAGCCTCCTTCGAGAGATACGCACACATAGACATCGGCACTTAGAACGGATTCACAGACACACGCACACAGACTAGAAGGATGTCCTTAGAACGAACTGACAGCGACAGCGGCAATACCAGCGCAGATACCACAGCACGTGCCATGCTACGCTCCTGACAAACACACACACACACGCACGAAGGCAGGACTGCACAAATCGACAACATAGCAAATAAAAGGTTTTTACACGGTACTCAAGACGAGCCTGGATAAATACAATAAACCAGGTTACCAGATATGCTGCAAAGACAATCGTACCACCACTGGAGAACGGCAGGCAGGCCTTATGAGCGCATAGACTTATATCGCTGAATTTGGCATCTCCCTGCGTCGTACCGTAACCATAGCTGAGCCCATGCGCTGCACTGGCCCCCGTTCCTCAAGAAACGGATGAGAAGAAGAAGAAAACATAGGACAAGTTCAAGGCATGCTGTGCTCGTGTCGCAGTTAGTCAAGTGCACGGCAAAAGGAAAAGCAGCATCAGATTATTAGCATTAGCATTAGGCGAGTGCAATAGTTGGGGGGGTTTAAAGTGGGTGGACGTGCGGGTGACAAGGAGTGCATGTTCGCGTCCGTGCTACTTGGGTTTTGCGGCAACCGGTGTCACGAGCACCAGTTGCCGCCGGACTTCCCCCATTGAGCCCCTCATGCCCCATTTTAATAACCCTACTCCCAGCACACATCCCTCTCCCTACGGACCCGATACACCCTCCGTCTGCCGCCACCGCCAAGTGCAGGGTAAGCCACGCACGAGGGGAAACGCCGGGGCTGACCTGGCAAGGCAGCCAGGTCGCAACACTACGTATTATGACCCTCCCTTACCTCCTGCAAACGCCTTCACATAGCGCGCAAAAGGGATTATACGAGGAAGAGGCAACGTGCTGATGGTGCTATGTTGATGGTTGCGTTGCTTGGGATGAGCCCGCACCCCGCCGTGACAAGCACCGCCGCCACGCCTGCGGTGTGCGGGTGTGTTGGGGCTGCAGGCAAGCCGCCGCTGTCGCACATGTGGGCTGCACGGAAGCCTCTGCTGCTGCGTGCCTTGATTGCTGCTGGACCGGTCTCCCATGGTTCGCTGCTAAAGCCCCACCGCCCCACAAAAAGACTCCGGACGCGCCCCCCAAAGACATCTTGGACCTTAGTAACGCCCAGCGAAACCCACGGGACGCTGCGCCGGGCTGAAAAGGCTGTCTGTTCCTAGTTAATCAGCCCTCTATCCAAAAGAAATCCTCAACAATTCTGTGTTTTAACAAGGCGCGAGATTATTCGCCCAGGTCGTCTGGTAAATGGATGCGGATGGCGATACAAGTGGGCAATCAAGGATCAATTATTATTAGGTTTGCACTTTCCCCCCAAACTGGCCCACTGGCCCTTGCCCACACCTCGACGTACCTCTCGTATCGCTCCCATTCCCGCAGTTTGGCATCGTACTTCGCGTCCAGCTCCCGCCTTTTGTCCTCCTCCTTACGCCGCTCTGCATCAGCCTCACGCGCCCACTCTCGCTCCCGCTCTCGCAGCTGCGCAGGGAGGCATTAATGTTAGGAAGGAAAAGCGAATTTCGTAAACTGCTCCTGGTCTCAGCCTACTCATTTCAAACACGCGGGTGTGGAACCGGGCACTTAGGGTGATCCTTGTGGCGGCTCTTTTATGCGTGCCGTTGCGAAGGCCAGTGTCGCTAATCACTTGGGACGCAAGACAGGCCAGCACGGGCGCTCCACAAACCCTCGCGCCCCGCCCTCGTGAGTGAGGCAAAAATTTGTCTCCAAAGGAGCAAATGTCCAGCGATGCTGAGGTAACCTCGCAAGTAAAACCAAAAGCCGAAGTAACCTCGCAAGTCAGCAGAATTGCGTATGCACTACTCGCATTCAGTTCTAATTGCGGAAGATGCCCTTGCACACTTACTTCCCGCTCTCGCTCCTTCGTCTCACGTTCCCTAGCGTCCTTTTCCCGGTCCTGCTGCTGCAACGAGGATGACAGCTTGCCGCTGGCTCCTGCGGATCCTAGCTGCGCGAGGAAATCGCTGGCTGCCTGCGCGGCCCCGGGAACGCCGCTAATGGGTACTGGTGGAGGCGGTGGCAAGGGGCCACGGGACTCCTCGCGCTCCGACACGACTGACATGATGACCTCCAACACACGGTTGTCCGCCGCTGCATCTTCGTCCTCGTCTGTGCCCTCTGCGGCGGGCTTATCGCTGTCGCCTTCCTTCGTCCCCTCGCTGCCCTCCGGGACAGCGGCGCCCTCGGCAGCTGCTTTGGCTTGCGCCGCCTTCGCCTTCTTCTCGGCTTTTTCGGCAGTCTTCTGCTGCTCATACTGCTCCGTGTATTTCTGTGTGGCCGCGTTGCATTTGAGCAGGAGCTCCTGTCCATCAAGTTTAAGGCCGTTCAGCAGCCGCATGGCCCGCAGCACTCCCTCCGCGTCTTCAAACTCACAAAACCCAAAGCCTTTGGGCTGCTTTGTGTCGGGGTCCATCTGCCGTTTCCACGACTTCACACGCCCACACGCGTCCAAAAGCGTCCGCACCACTGAGTCAGGCACAGACGAGGCTATCTTGCCGACGTACACGGTCGTGCTCTTCTCCGCGATCGACGGAGGCACATAGACTGCAGTCCAGAACAGGCAAATTAATACCAATTTGAGTCAATTGCAGGAACATTATGATGCTCAAGGATGACGCACCTGATTTTGCGAGAGTGCTGGTCCCCAACGTGGGGCGCGGCGCCATCGGTGGTGTGGCTTGCACAGGTGGGCGCATCTGCGGCATCCCCATGCCAAGAGGCATTCCGCCCATGCCCATCCCTCCCATATGACCTGGTGGCATCATCATAGGTCGCATGCCTGCAACAAGCCAGCACACAAAGTTCAGGACTTTAACTTCTGTCTCGGATGAAAATGTAAATCCTACTGATATTAAAGCAGAAGATCCAAAAGACGCTTTACATATCCACAGAAGAGGTTGCAACTACGCCATAGCTTTAGCCTGTGCCGCATAACGTTTGACCTACCCATTGCGCCTGGCATACCGCCAAAAGCAGGCGGCGCACCAGGAAAGCCCATTCCACCGGGCATTCCAGGCCGAAAGCCTGGGAACGGAAAGCCTGGTGGCCCGCTCATGGCTTTGTTCTCGCACTGGCAAAGGTACAACTCAGGAGTTACTTTACTGCTGCCTATGATATTGTGTCTTTAGATGTACCGCAAACCAACACTAAGAACATATGCAAACAACAGCATGTTAGTAGCCCGTTTTCTTGCTGTTGTGCAAACGCCGTACGACAGCATGACGCGGGCCTGAAGAAGACCCGATTCACACGCCCAGCGCAATTTGAGGTAACGTACATGGATTTGCGCTAGGCCTGGGTAGGAACGAGAGCATGCGTTAAACAATGTCAGGAGGGTCTCGCGCCTTCAGCAGGCCGAGGGTGGCGTGTGGTAAAGCCGTAGCCAACAGGTTTCTTTGGCGAAGTCTATCTGTCCATCCTCTGCTGACTCTGTCAAAGCGGCTGACATTTTCGTTACTACCGTTGTGTGTTCGTATGGTGTTCCGACTGTCGTCATCTGCAACGGGGATTCTAAGTTCACCTCTGCATTTTTCGAGTCGCTTTTTGATGGATATCAAATCGACTTGCGTTGCAGGTCTGGTTATCATCCTCAGACGGATGGACAAACAAAACGTGCAAATCGCATTTTGGAGGATATGTTGCACCATTTCTTCTCCGGCTTTTCACCTGGTTCGAAAATTGGGGGAGGAGAAGGCCAAGAAGCGCATGAGCAGCGTGGCCAACCTGCCGATGAAGACCAGCAAAGCGCCGGACCTTTCCTCCCGATACTGCTGAACCATTCTCTGGTACATGCGTGTAGGTCACTTTCCAACAGCCGAATCCATTGCCTGTTAAATTCAGTACGGATTTGCAAAATGCTTTTGAACGAGCTAAGCCTTGCTTGGCTGCTGCTCGAGATCGGATGAAGAAATGGGCTGACAAAGGTCGCTCGGAGTCTGTTGGTGATCGCGCACTCTTGAGTACGAAACATATGAGCATCGTGGGGCTGTGCAGGTTGCTGCCTCGCTTTATCGGGCCCTTTGTGGTTAAGGAAAAGATCAACGCGTTCGTGTATCGGTTGGATCTTCCTCCTGCAGTACGGATACATAATGTGTTTCATGTGTCACTCCTTCGTCAATGTCATGATGGTGGTTGCGTTCAGTTACTCCGCCACCTCAAGTTATTGAGGGAGTTTGAATGGAAGAAGGACGTCGACAAAAGCGTTTCTATCTGATCCGTTGCTGACTCAGTTTCAACCTCGAAGTCCCAAGGTCAGTAGACACTTTCGAGTCCCTTCGAGTCGACGCCGCAACGAGTCCCTTAAACTAATTGTCACGGCCGTGTGATCAAGAAGCCTTCGCGCTTCAATGCTTTTCTCAACCACTTGTCTGTCATCACCTGGTTCCGGAATCCCTGCTTTCTCCTTGCGTGTGGCGGTGAAGACAAGGTTGGCTGGCTGTCGGGACAACCAGCCATTAAGGGGATGAATGATATAACGTGCAAGAGCAGTTACATATATCTATTCATGTAGCTATTCTCAAGACTTACCTTTTGCGTTGTCGTACAATAGTACTAACTTAGCTTGGAGACTCAATCAGAAAGCTATGAACGACATCATTCAGAGAACAGGATCTGACAGTATGTACCACGTGAACATCTGAAAGGCTTTGGGCCTGTTTCCATTGGCTTTTAGTGCCACCTTTTAGTGCCTACTTCCCCAAAAAGGAGAATGGGGTCCATGGAAATCAGGGCCTTTCAATGAATTTTAGTGGACTTTTAGGGACGGCCTTTTACTGAAGTACAAGTACAACAGGTTTTCGTTGTAACGTGCATCTTTCCACCTTCTAATGCATGAGGGCTTTTTCAAACCGGTGACACTTAAGTATTCAGTCCGGAACTCTCTGTATTTACAGATTTACCACCCGAGAGCTCTCACCCAACTGATGCTCCCTCTCTCCCCGTGCTGTTTCCCCGCTTTGCTCTCCCTCTGCGTGAATGCGTACGGCGGTGATGCGCGTAGGGTTCAGGATTGCGTTAGGCAATCAGCCCTGTAAGATGACAATGATCTAGTGTAAGGTCTGCCGTGGGCTAGGACCTGGTACGGACAGTCTCGGGAGTAAGTGAGTACGTGGAGGAATAGTATGCAGGGTTATGCGTGGCGTGGGGCTACCAAAGATGGCTGTAAGCCTGTGAAGAGCATGGAGGAGAGACCTTACCCCTCTGCTTGGGTTCCATTCAAAGAGCTTCATGTAAGAGTTCTCATAGGTCATGGCTACCCGTTTCCGTCCCCTGGGGCCCCTTACCCCACTGTATCGTCATCACATCTGACCGTTTGAGCTCTGGACGTGTTGCTCTTACGTATCCTCAAGATAATATACCAATGGCACGAAAGAAGTTTCAGATGAAGCAGCCTTTCCCCTCAGGCGGGTGACCATAGAGTGACGAGGGGTGCCGAAGAGTGCTCTGAGCACATCCCAGGTGCGCGACGGCACGTAGGGCCCACTTATAACGTTTATTAAGCAAGAACGTCATTAAATACAGCATTTTCAGGGTTTCGGCAGTTTCCGACAGTTTCGCGAGGTTTTGCAGAAGGGTCCAGAAAACGGAAACTATTTCGGCTAACGCAGTACAGTTTCGGCCCGAGCCCTGAGCATCCATTGTCTTCTTTCCCAATAACTCTTACAGAACCTTACAAATCCTATAAAATTGATTGCTACTTCTTGACGTAACACCATGGAGGCAACGGCAATGACTGCCGAGCTTGTGCCACCACTCCTGCGAACACTTTTGAGAAGATCTTCACAACTGTCATTCTTTTGGCGTGTATGCTAACGAAGCATGCACGTCAGGGAATAGGCCAAAGCGCGCGCGCATACAGCTCTTCCGGTCAAAGTACACTGACTTGGCTAGCTTTCGCGATAGCCTTTCCGGCAGCTCATTGGGGACTGACAATGTGACTATTGAGCACGAGGCCTTCGATGGCATGAGCGGTAAGCTGGCTGTCAGCATTGCTAGCCCAAAGTGTGCAGAGTTGCCCTGTGCTTCTCTACTTTTGCCGTCTTTTGAATTCCAGTACCTTGACAACTATTCTGCTGTCTTGTTATGATATGGCTTAAAGCAAGAGCTTTGACCCTATGACGACATTCTGGATCAGGTGGTCTGATCCTTCCTTGCTCCCGATTGCCAAATGCATAACCACAGCAACTTTCAGACTGGCCATCTTGTGTGCGTTCCTGGATGGCATTCTTCATGGCGACTATGATCCCTGCGTGGATGATCCATGCCGTTTGACAAGTGCCAAAGCCATCGCTAGCAGACAACATAACATTGTCATGTTCGATGTTCACATTTCCTCACCATGGGTCCCTTCAACAGTAGCGGTCACAGTTAAGGAGGTCAAGCAAGCGACGACATAGAAGGATGCACAACCTGCTGGGAATGACAAAGGAGTTTTGAGGGCACAACCATGACCCTACAGACCTTCGGGGGTAAGTCCGCGAATGTGTATGTACCAGACTGCACGACAGTGGGGCTGCACGCGTTACCTATGTTATCTTGGTGCTTGCAGTGAAGGTATCAAATGACATCCTGGCTGCTTACAAGGTCTCCACCATCAACCCCATGGGCAACGGTAAGCATTTGGCATTGGCAGTGTGCTTGGTGCAATTCAATTTGTATGTGTAAATTATGACACTGATCTCCCATAAATGTGGTGACTTGCCATGTTAGGGAGCCTGGAGGAGAGTCGACTGAAGGAACAGCATGCGCCTGTGGGCCTGTGGATGCGGAGGCAGAGGACAATAACCCGCCCAAGAGGCGGAGAGTCCTGCCTCGTCGTTACAGCAACCAGGACGCCTTGCTGGCAGCGTTTTTTTTGCGGAATGTATTCCGCATTCGGAATTAAAATTGTTCGCGGTCCTGAAAATTAAGAATAAATAACTTTCCGACCATACAAGTTCATTCCTCCAGCCAAAAATGGACGGTTTATGCCAAAGCCGTTAGAATCTTACAGGAGACATACATGTTAACCATATCATAGTAATTTAATGACATGGATACTGCTAGGAAGGTCACACCCGAAAGTCAACGAGGAATCGGACTGTTTCTGAGCGGACCAAACACTGCAAAATATCCGGACCCGAAGCTCTCAAAACATGGAAGGCCATGAAAGAAGATATTAAACTTCACTCAAGACATTAGCGATGGTAATGAAGACGGCCTAGAGGTCGTAGGCAATGTGGACGCAATGCTGGAGCCAGTGTTGCGATATTCCCCAAACCCTGTGTCTGTACGACTAAACAAAACCTCATTGGGGGGGTCTGGGGGGGCGTACTTACAGATTCGGAATACTTTTATTCCCGCGACTAAAAACCTATTCCTCCGTTTGGACTGGAAAATTGATAGGCAAAAATGAAAAAAACACTGCTTGCTGGGTGTCTGCAATTGGGGACAGACAAGAGCGTGGAAAAGGGTGATGACACAGCTGGGAGTGGACACCCACACTCCAATGGCAGCGGTGGTGGGCGCGGAAGGGGCAGAGGGCGGAAGGGGGCA